CCTAGAAGCACATTGATGGGCCAGAGAGACCCAGGGCGGGCTCCAGCCTCCTCAAGAGCTGCAGCCACGCGCGTCGCCTCGCGCGCCCGCTCCGCCAGGAAGAAGGGGGGGTAGGAGGCGACGTCGAACTCGCATCCTCGCTCGTCCTGTAGGCGGGCGCCCCCTGCGGTCAGCTGCCAACCTTTGCGCTGAAGGGCGAGCGCCAGCGCCGCCATCGGGCCCCGCACCGCAGCCCAGGGCCTTTGGCAATGAGCCGCTCCGAATTCTGCAGGCAAGCCTGAACCGCAGCAGGCCGGGCCCGCTTGGCCCAGGTGGCGCTGCAGAAGGCCTGGGCTGCCGTGCCAGCGGCAATCGCCAGCGGGTCCTGCCGCCAGCCGCGCGGGGCGCGCTGTTGCACATATAGCTCAGCGCCGCTCCAGGGGGCAGCCTGCCAGCGCTCTTGGCCGCCGCCGCACGCAGGGCGCGCATCCTGCCAGGGGGCGCTCATGAGGTGGCTGATCCCCAGGAGGGCCTTGGCCGTCGGCGCCCCGCTCGCATCGCGCGGGGCTGCCGCAGGCCAGGACCGAAGATGCGCGCCAGGCGGGAGGCCTGGCGCAGGGCGGCCAGTTCCCGCGCCACCAGCGTCGTCACGCGGCGGTGGCCTCCAGCAGTAGCATCGCCTCCCAGGTCGCGGTGGCCTGACGCGAAGGCGGCCGCCGGCAGAGGCCAGCGCGACTGCGCCAGCAAGTCCCTCTGCAGCTCAGCGGAGGACACCAGCACCTTCGTCTTGGCCCAGTTGATGGGGAGCCGCTTGTCTGACAGCATCTGGACGATCCCTTCCGCGAGCTGGGTGATCTGGCGAACCAGGACGCCTCTCGAGCCTATGCCATGGCCCGCCACCTCGTCGATCACGTTGACCACTCTGCCGACCTGCAGGAGCGCGCGCCCGCGAAGCAGCAAGTCGCGCAGCATGAGCCGCGAGAGGGTCGCGGCGCAAAAGCACCCAGCGATCGCCGAACCAGCAGCGCAGATCTCCTCGCTGACCGCGCCGCCCACGGTAGCGCGCCTCGGCCCCGCATTGGCCGCGCACAAGGCTTTGACCAGGCCGGCGCTGAAGCCTTGCGCCGGGGCGGCGTCCCGCAGCAGCTCGTGGTCGATCCACTCGTAGAACGCGTTGATGTCGAAGTAAACCGAGGCGCCGTCGAACCCTCGGGCTCGCGCCAGGCCGAGATACAGGTTGTGGAGGTACGCAGCCCTGTCACAGCTGGTGTCCGATGGCTGCCCCAGATCTCTGGCAGCTGGTGCTCGGCCTTCACTTCGCACAATACTTCCGTGGATGCGGCCCCAGATCCACATCCAGAAGGCCATCGGACCGATCGGGCGACGGCCGCCGCCGGGCTTGCCCAGGAAGACGGTCAGAGTGGCGAAGAGGCCCGTTGGCTTGGGGTCGCGCCCCCACGCCGCGAGAACCTCTGCTACCCGCTCGGCGAACGGGCGGCCTAGCAGCAGCAGCAGCAGCAGCAGCAGCGCAATCCTTTCGGGGAAGGAACTCGGCAGCGGCCAGCACCTCCTCGGGCGCGATGTCAGGGGGATCCATGATGGTCTGCCACTGGGCGGGCGGGATCGGCACGCTGCCTCCTCCACCAGCAGGCTCGTTCGCGCCTCGCCCGTCTATCCAGGGCCGCTTCCACCCCTGCACGGTCTGGTCCAGCGCTGCCTGCCCCGCCAGCGGCACAGGTGGGATTTCGGGCCCCGCTGCAGACGTCACCGCGAAGGTTTCCCCGGCAGGTGGCTTGCTGACCGCGTGGGCAATGCGCCCGCCAGCTGCCAAGGCGTCGCCCGCGAAGTCGCGCCAGCGGACGCGGGCAGCAGCAGCGTCCGCAAGGACGTGGCTGGCAGTGGCAGCCTCTATGGCATCGAGGAGGAAGCTGCCAGCGCTCGACGACGCCTTGACTTCGCCCAACATTAGCTGCATGCTTGAAGCCGTGAACATGTTGCAGCCATGCTGGGTGAAGTGCGGCGCCAGCGAGACGGCCGCCGCCCCCAGGTGGCGCATGTGGGCTGCGTGCCCCACGCCAGGCGACAGCTGCGCCGCGGCCCCTGCCATCTGCCTTGCCAGCCGACCCAGCGAGATCCAGTGCCGAGTCAGCGGGCAGACCTTGCGCGTGGTCTCGGAGCGCCGCAGGTCATTCAGAGACTTCCTGACCCTCCGCACCCCGCGGGCTCGCCCGCGATACTGGTCGGCATCAGCTCCCAAGTCAAGGAGGTCGACCAGGTGCTGCTCCGCCTGCTCGTAGAACTCCTTCACCGCCGCCTCTGGCAGGCCCTGGTCGTCTTTCGTCGGCGCCGTCCAGCAGAGGCCCTCGGCAGTCTGATCCGCCTCGGCCTCAAGGGCGGGGGCCCCGACCCGCTCCAGGTCGAAGCGCCGAGGCGACTGAGGAACCCAAACCTGCGCCTGCGAGCCGAGGCGGGCGAAGGACAAGCGCACGGGCACGCGCGGGCGCAGCGTGGATGTGCGAATGGCCACCACGCGGGGCTCCAGGGCCGCCAGCGCCGACGAGACCACGAAGAAGTCGCATTTCTTCGCCATTCAGGTCGCGTGCTCGGCCCCCGGAATCGCCCCGCCAACCGACCGGGGCCACCCGGATCCAGCTAGCTCATGCGGCTCCATGTTCCAGTCGCCGCCCACCACGAACGGCTCCGTCAAGCAATTGAGGAACCCCTGCAGGCGGCCGAGCAGCTCGACGTTGAGGCCCGACAGGCGGGAAGAGTGCCCCAGGTAGATGCTGGCCGCCACGAGCACCAGGTCGCCGAAGGCAGCGCGTCGCGACAGCACCCTGGGGCCGAAGTCGCCCCAGTCCTGCTCAGTGGGCGCCGCCCCGCGGAACTGGCCGGTCAGGATGGCTACTCCGGATGACACCTCCTGGGCCGTGTTTCCTGTGCACCTGCAAAGGCCGAGAGCCGCCTGGAGGCCGTTGCGATGGCACCACCCTCTGGCGGTATCCGCCGTACGGCCTGAGTGAAACCTGCTCTCCTGAATCAAGTACAAGTCATCCGAGGCTCCAGCGCCGCGCAGCTGCTCCAGCTCCGTCTGGGCTTGGGCCCGCGTCGATCCGTTCAGCGTGACAATGCTGGCGGCGGCGGCCCGCGCCCTCGGGGCGAGCTCCGCCAGCGAAAGTTGGCGCACCGCATGCTTCTCGGGCCTGGCCGCGCTCGCCGCGAGCCCCGAGCCCTCCGCCGCGCTAGAGCACCCGCCGGCTGGCCGCCTCCGCCACGGGGACGGGGGCGACCGTGGCCAGCGGATCCAGCCGTCGATCGGCAAGTGGCCGTCACCCCAGCGTTCTCGCGGAGACGGCGCTGGCACCGCGTGCGCCAGCGGGAGCATGGCCTCGACCGCCGCCATCTGCCGCATCGTGGCCTCCCAGGCGCTGGAGAAGTTGCCCGCCGTCTGAGCCGTCGACAGCGTGCGCAGCTGCACCAACAGCCCACGCACGGCCGCGAGGTCGGCGCCCGACACCTGGTGGCGCTCCTGGCTATCCCTAGCCTCCGCAGCCGCCGCCTCCAGGTTGGCGAGCCGCTCCTTCGCCGCCTGCCCCTGCTCCTCTGCCAGCGCCAGCTTCTCCTGCGCCGCCTGGAGCTCGGCCTCGGCGCCGCCGACGGCCTGGTTGGCCGCCTCGAAGACCCGCCGCGCGCTCGCCGCTTTCCGCTCGGCCTTGCTGGCGGAGTTGGCCTCTCGGCGGAGCTTGGCAGCTCGCGAGAACCCTGCCTCCTTGTCCGCGGCCATGGACGCGGCCAGCTCGTCGCGCTGAGCTCGGAGGGCCGCCAGCTGCTCCTCCACCAGCCCAGCATGGCCTCCGCCCACGCTGGGGAAGCCCTCGAGGTACTCGATGTCGCGCTGCAGCGCCCCAGGCGCCCGCTGGCGCCCGACACCGCGCCCCCGCCTGAGCCGCCAGCTCTCGGCGAAGCCAGCGCCCGAGCCGTTGCCTGGGGCTGCAGCCGCCGCGGCCGCCGCGCGGGCCTTGCATCGCCCCTTCTTGCCCTTGCCAGGCCGCATCCAGCCCTGCTCGTCCACCACCGGCTGGGCGGCTGCGTGGCGCACGGCCCAGGGCGGCGCCTTGGCCTGACAGCCGATGCACGTGCTGCGAAAGCAGTAGTTCCACTGCTTGCACGCACGGCTGGCGCAGATCCAGTATGCACCGTCGCCGCGGAGGCCGCCGCGGGCACCAGCAGCGCCGCCAGGAGCCGCGGGAGGCGCCATCTCACGGGCCCGCCGCCGCTCGGACCAGTGCCCTCAGTCAACACATTAGTCGCTTGACCCAAAGCGAGGAGACCCTCGCGCTCAGAACGCCGCGGACGACTCGCGGTCGTCGGGCGCTCCATGGCCTTGAGCCAAAAAGGCTACGGACGCTGGGGGCATTGGAAAAGGAACTCTTAGATAAGGAATCCTGGGTCTGGAGGCCGGTGAACTCCAATCGAAGCGTGGCCATGGATATCACCGCCCCCCTCATCAGCTAAGGAATCCTCCAGGGTCTGCAGCCTCCTGGGCGCATTCCTTAACCAAAGCCCCCCACCGTATCCTTGTGGCTGGAGGCACACTTGCATTCTGCCGTCGCTGTGGCGCTTGGGCCCAGCCGACGGCCGCGCGTTCGTGCCTGTGGGGCGAGTACTCGGGCATTGCAGTACTCGGGCATTGCATCCAGCAAGGACGCGGTGTATTCGAAGTCCCTCGAGGTCGGTAAAGATCCCATCCCGGGGGCGTGGAGGGGCAACCCACGTCATTTCCACACTTCTGACGATGCCTGCTTGTGGATTCGTCTTCGGTAATTGGCTCGCGTGTGTATCCTCTTTAATCGTCGAGTCGTGCGTAATCGCCTTTTCCACCCATCTATATATTCCCGTTTTCCTGTCTCGGCGCGCTCGGATTCGATTTGGTCGTGTCTCCTTCTCATCTTGTTCCCTCTCCTGTCCCTTCTCCTGTTCCTTCTCATCCTCCTCCTCCTCCTCCTCCTGCTCCCGCCTGCCTTCAAGTTGTCGAACGCGCGATCGTCCATGGGGTACCTGTCCCGGAAGGCAGCGAGCCCGCTGTTCGTCCGCCTGCTTCCCCTGTCGCGGCTCCCGCTGCGGCTGCGGCTTCGCGAGTCGTCCCTGCGGCCGCGCCCCGCGTCCTGCAAGGCATTGGGGGGTGGGTGGGACGGCAAAGACCACGACGTTGGGCATTGCTTCATGGGTGGGTGATAAGTGTGTGGGGGGGGGGGGCACGTGCACTGTTCATGCCCCTTTTGGGCCCCGGGGTGCCCCGTTAGGGTACGAAAGGTGCAGCTTCTTCAACCCCCAATGTATCTCCCCTCCCCCCGCCGACGGAGACGAGGACGAGGACTTCGGAGGCGTCCTCTATGGCCGCGCGGGCCACCCGGCCGGAGAACTCGCCCCCATGGCCGCGCGGCCGCTCGTGCGCTGCGGGGCGCGACTGCTGCTTCCGGAGCAGCAGGGACCGCAAGAAGGTCGAGATGAGCGCGGAGTAGTCAGAGTCCCCCTCGCTGCGCGGCTTGAACTGGGACATCAGCTGCCTTGCAGTCAAGGCCATGGCACAATCCCTAGGCAAATGCTGGGCTGGCCCCGCACGCAGGACCACACACATGTGCAGGGGCCTGCGCGTTGGGCCAGCTCCCTTGGAAGTGCAGGAGAGAGGGTGGACAGGCAAGCTAAAAGAGGTGCCCCATTTCCCCATTGACAGGCGAAAGTGTGGGGCGAACAGAACACTGAGTGTCAAGGCGGATTTGTCGAGCGAGAAGAAACTCGCACTGTGTTCAAAACATGAGGGCATGTCGCATGCACATATGGAGCTCAAAATCAACTTGCAAACCTGAGCTTCTGCTGCACGCGTACCACAATCTCCGCAGACGCGGATGAAGGGAATCCCCCCCCGCCCGCCCGCACTCATCGCGCGAAAGAGAATCCGAAGGCTCACCGCGTGCGCCGATGTCTGCTCAAACCGTGCGTCCCTGCGTGGCCCAAACTGGAGCCACCGCTGGGCACCCCGGCGGCGGGAGCTGGGCGCCCCCAGGAGAGGGGGGGGGGGCGCGGTGCAGCGGGCCCCGTGGCCGGGCTCCAAGCGCCCCCCCCGGACGCTGGGCCCCCCCGTGGCCGCAGCCCCCCCCCCCCCCCCCGCTGGGCCTCCCCTCGGCCAGAGGACAAGACGAGGCAAGACCCGGGCAGCTGCTGTCTCCTCCTCTGGCTCACCCGTCTGACTGGCGAGGCCAATGAGCACGACAACTGTGGCTGGTGGCTTTAACGCGCTCCTCGGGCAAGCTTGAAAGACCCATCAGCCCGAGGGGAGCCTTAAAGATCCGCGTTAGCACATAGGCGCGCTGCACTACTTACTGCGAAGAGGCGCGAGGCTTAGAGCACTTGGGCCCATTGAGGAGGAAGAAGGTAAGCCCGGTGGCGTCTGCCTGTCCCCCGACCCCAGGCAGCATGCCTGCGGTTTGAAAGGAACGGCGTGAGCGGAAGCCCCTCGCCCTAATATAAAGAAGCACTCGTGAACTGCAGAATCCGTGTCTTCTTCACAACACGAACTTGCCTTGAAATTTCGCGGGTGGCAAGGATATCAAGGCGTCATTCTCGGAAACGGAGGGACCCGCAGAAGAAGACTACAATGGAGATGGATAAGTGTACTTTCTGGGGTCCTTTGATACTGGATTTCGAATTACGTTTGTTGAGGAATTGGATGCGAGGATGATTCGGAGGCACGTCTGCCGACATGCCCTCCGACCTCCTGTTCAGTTAATCCCCCTCTGCCTTCTCTCGCCTCATCATTACCATCATCGCAAAATCTCTTCCTCCGCACTCATCCTTCATTCACCGATTGGCAATCCTTCTCAAACTCATTCTCATCGGACCACCAAGCATGTCGGCACCGATTACCGGCAATTTCTCGTGGTCTATCCGCAGATCTCTGGCCATTGAATTCGGAATGCCTCCAGCTACCCAGATGGATAGTGGGCTATTACTATAACGTTGCCCCAACACCACCGAAGGGCACACGAGTCGTATGCCACATCCTCCAATAGGTAGGTACACAGATGACGATCCGATTTCAATATGTTGCCTTCCCACTTGCACCGAAAACATTCGCTTATACGCTACATACGCGGAGGAGACTTGAAATGCTGAGGGGTGGCTCCTTATCGCCTGAGACGTTCTCCCGAGCTGTGGCCAAGAACTCTCAAGTCTAGTCATCCTCCCTCCTCGTCCTCCCCTCTGCTACCTTCTCCTCCTCCCGTCAGAAAACTCTTTCAAAAATTGGGAGACCTCCGAAACGAAATGACAACCATCAGAAACCACCGAAGATCACCGACAAATGCCGAACACGACAGAAAACTGTCTGGAATCGATCGAAAACTTCAACCTCCTGATCTTCCTCATCCGCCGCCGCCTCCCAGCATCCTCCACCTTGTCCTCTTCGCTCCTCATCCTTGTCTATCCTCCTCCACTCCGAAAACATCCGATCAGTTCAAAATCCAGAGGACTGGGGATATTCGCCGAAAGCATAAATAAACGACCAAATGCCTTCCGAAATCACTGGTGAACCTCCCCCCTGCTCGAAACAGAGACGCGAAACCACCCGACACCGGCACCCGACGCCGGGGACGGACCGACGCCGGCACCCGGTGCGGGTGCTTTGCGGTCCTCCCCCCTCCGGTGCCTGGACAAAAATTGTCCACGCCGACGGCGTGAAGACAATCAGGCACGATGGCATTAGCAATTGCAATGTACATGTGGCTCGCCGCGATGGGTGTGGACACTTTTTGTCCACACACCGTCCCTCCCCCTCGAGGTGCATCTGTCTGCTCGCCCCGCGCCTCTGGAGGTCCTCCCCCGAGACGCACAGCGCGCCCCAAGCCCGCTCGTCCATCGGGTAGCGCTCCCTGGCGCGGGGCTGGAGGGGGCGTATGCGCCATCGTCGTCGTCGTCGTCGTGTCCAGTGCCAGCCGCGGACGTGGCGGACCCGCTGGCCCTCAGGGGGCTGTCCTGAGCTTTGTCCGTGTCCACACGCAGCTAAACGCAAGGAGGAAAACGAGCAGCAGGAGGAGGAGCCGGGGGAGAGGCCAAAAGCCAGCGCAGCTGCAGGGGCGGCCCGGCGGGAGGAAGGGAGGGCGGGGGAGGGGGCGGGGGCAGGCGGGCGGGGGGCAGGAGAAGAGGGCGAATTGGCGGTCGAAGGGGCCGTGGTGATCGTGGTGGTCATGCTGGTGGTCGAGCCTAATATGGTGGGCGTGTTGGCGGTCGTGGTGGTCGTGGTGGTTGTGGTGGTAGTGCTGGCGAGTGCGCGGGAATCGTCAAAGTGATAGGTGGAAACGTTGTCGGGGGGGCCGTGCTAGTCGCGGTGGTAGTCGGAGGCGGTGGATGTCATTGTCGTGATGGTGGTCGTGCTGGGGTGTGTGGTGGTCATGCTGCTGGCGCTGCTTGGAGGGACTGTAGTGCTAGTCGAACGGGTGGTGGCCGTGCTCGCTGCGGCCGTTGTAGACGCCAGGTCACTGGCCCAGTGCGCTGACGAGCATCTCGGCGTTCCCCGTGTGGAGCGTCACGGAGATCTCCCGCCACAGCCTGCTCAGAAGTTCTGAGCGCTCCTCATCCACGAGGCCACCGCCGTAGCTTCGAATGAAAGCGGCGGCTTCCCCGGAGGGCCGCCCCCCCGCCTCCCAAACCTCCGCATTGCAGCGTTAGCGATATTTCAATGCCATCAGGTATCGTTTGCGTTGCAAGCGGAGCATGCGAATCCAGTCGGACTCCCTCCTCTCAATCGGCGGCGAGCGCGGGGGGGAAGCGCGAAGGGGAGGGTCTTCTCAGAAGGCTCGGAAGTCCCCCAGCCTTCTGAAAAGTTTTCTAAGCCTTCCCAGAAGACAGAGAAAACTTCTCAGAAGGCGCGAGGGCTTCTGAGAAGTCCCGCCGCCTCCTGAGATGGCCTTCTCCTTCTCACTTCCCCCCCTCGCTCGCCGCCGACTCAAACGTTGAAGGAATCCGCCTGCGAGAAGCACTCAAGCGGCTCAACCGCGCAGCGCTTACAACGTGATTCAGAGTGTGTGTGTGTGTTGACCGAACTTGTCCTCGTCGCTTCTGGGCCTGCCTTGCGCGGAAGCAAGGTAACGGTATGAGGGCAGGTGGTCGGCGTCGAGGGAGACACGTAATCGAACGAAGCAAGATCCGAAACATCCACCGGCGACACGGACAGGCGGAGAAGCAGAGGGAGGATAAGGAGGCGGCAGCCGAGTAGTAGTAGTAGTAGTAGTAGTAGTAGTAGTCGTAGTAGTAGTAGTAGTAGTAGTAGTAGTAGTAGTAGTAGTAGTAGTAGTAGTAGTAGTAGTAGTAGTAGTAGTAGTAGTAGTAGTAGTAGTAGTAGTAGTAGTAGTAGTAGTAGTAGTAGTAGTAGTAGTAGTAGTAGTAGTAGTAGTAGTAGTAGTAGTAGTAGTAGTAGTAGTAGTAGTAGTAGTAGTAGTAGTAGTAGTAGTAGTAGTAGTAGTAGTAGTAGTAGTAGTAGTAGTAGTAGTAGTAGTAGTAGTAGTCGTAGTAGTCGTAGTAGTAGTAGTAGTAGTAGTAGTAGTAGTCGTAATACGAAGAAGAAGAAGAGTACGAAGAAGTTGTAGTAGTAGTAGTAGTAGCAGCAGCAGCAGCAGCAGCAGTAGTAGTAGTAGTAGTAGTAGTAGTAGAAGAAGTAGAAGTAGTAGTAGAAGTAGGAGTAGTAGTAGTAGTAGTAGTAGTAGTCGTAGTAGTAGTAGTAGTCGTAGTAGTAGTAGTGGTAGGAACAGTAGTAGTAGTCGTCGTCGTCGTCGTCGTAGTAGTAATAGTCGAAGTCGTAGTCGTAGTCGCAGTAGTCGCAGTAGTAGTAGTAGTAGTAGTAGTAGTAGTAGTAGTAGTAGTAGTAGTAGTAGTAGTCGTAGTAGTAGTAGTAGTAGTAGTAGTAGTAGTAGTAGTAGTAGTAGTAGTAGTAGTAGTAGTAGTAGTAGTAGTAGTAGTAGTCGTAGTAGTAGTAGTAGTCGTAGTAGTAGTAGTAGTAGTAGTAGTAGCAGTAGCAATAGTAGTCGTAGCAGTTGTAGCAGTAGTAGTAGTAGCAGCAGCAGCAGCAGCAGCAGTAGTGGTAGTAGTAATAGTAGTAGTAGAAGAAGAAGTAGTAGTAGTAGTAGTAGCAGCAGTAGTAGTAGTAGTGGTAGTAAAAGTAGTAGCAGTAGTGGTAGTAGTAGTTAGTAGTAGTAGTAGGTGGTAGTATGAGCAATCTTATTATTATTATTAGTACTAGTAGTAGTAGTAGTGGTGGTAGTAGTAGTAGTAGTAGTAGCAGTAGTAGTAGTACTGTAGTAGTAGTAGTAGTAGTAGTAGTAGTAGTAGTAGTAGTAGTAGTAGTAGTAGTAGTAGTAGTAGTAGTAGTAGTAGTAGTAGTAGTAGTAGTAGTAGTAGTAGTAGTAGTAGTAGTAGTAGTAGTAGTAGTAGTAGTAGTAGTAGTAGTAGTAGTAGTAGTAGTAGTAGTAGTAGTATAGTAGTAGTAGTAGTAGTAGTAGTAGTAGTAGTAGTAGTAGTAGTAGTAGTAGTAGTAGTAGTAGTAGTAGTAGTAGTAGTAGTAGTAGTAGTAGTAGTAGTAGTAGTAGTAGTAGTAGTAGTAGTAGTAGTAGTAGTAGTAGTAGTAGTAGTAGTAGTAGTAGTAGTAGTAGTAGTAGTAGTAGTAGTAGTAGTAGTAGTAGTAGTAGTAGTAGTAGTAGTAGTAGTAGTAGTAGTAGTAGTAGTAGTAGTAGTAGTAGTAGTAGTAGTAGTAGTAGTCGTTAGTAGGAGGACGAGGAGGAGGACGAGGACGAGGAGCAATACTAATAACTATCACAATGATAACGAGAAGAAGAAGAATACGATACCAACGCGAGCAACGGCAGCAGCAGGGGGCGGCCCCAACTGTAACTGGTGCCAGCGGGACATAGCAACTGGAGGCCCCCCCGATGCCTCCCCGAGGCCTCCCGAGGCGGCCCCTCGAGGCCCCCTCGAGGCCCCCCGGAGGGCCCCCGAGGTTCTCCGAGGTCCTCCGACGCACTCGGGCATCTTTCGAGGGCAGAAAATCCACCCCCATAATGAGCACCCCGACACGCGAAGCCGTGTAGTAAGGGAACCCACGGAAGGAACCGAACAGGGCAGGGCTGTTCAGTAAACGCCCAGGGCCGTTCAGTAAACGCCAATTGTCGGGTCTGGTGGTTTTCCCCCCCGTGAATCTACTGACCCGGATCAATCCAATCCAGGGTCAGTCAGGCCTTACAGGATCCTGCAAGATCCCGCACGACCTTGCAAGATCCTGCGCCCTACACCGGGTCAGTGCACCCCTGGCTCTGCAGGATGCTGCAAGAATCCGGCGCTCTGACGGGCCCCCGTTTGCATCGACCCCGGTCTCAAGGTCACCGTGATGCCCCCTGGGAGGCCAAGAGGCTGTCCCCCCCCCGCGAGCGAAGGCCCGAAGAGAGGGGGGGGGGGCGGCGGGGCACCCTGGGGGCACCGTCGAGCCTTCGAGACGTTGCGGGGGAGGGCGCCGCGGGGACGCCCCGACGCGCACCAGGCGGTGCGAGAAGCCAGAAGACACTGAGGATTTGATTTGAGGAGGAACGATAGCGGGTGACCGGGTCGGGGGGGTGGACGTGGCCTGGAATCGGCGACGCATCGCCGGTAGATCGCCGATGGGCTAGTGATTGACCCTCGCTTGCGAAGCCCGACGTTCCAGGGCGGGGGGGGCCATCAGGCCCCCCCTGGGCCCATCCCCCCCCCCAACGTTGCCCCTGACATCCTGACTCGGCGGCGAGCGAGGGGGAAGTGAGAAGGAGAAGGCCTTCCCAGAAGGCGGCAGGGCTTCTGAGAAGCCCTCGCGCCATCTGAGAAGATTTTGTTGTGTCTTCGGGGAAGGCTCAGAAAACTTCTCAGAAGGCCGGGGGACTTCCGAACCATCTGAGAAGGCCCCCTCCTTCTCACTTCCCCCCCTCGCTCGCCGCCGACTGACACGAGGCAGGCACCTCGAGAGGATTCGGACCGGGGGGCGCTTCGAGGACCAACCCCCCCCTCAGAAATCGTGGGGTGGGGGGGGGGGGATAGTGTCTCCTGACATCCTGGCACGAGGCGAACACCTCGAGGAGGCTCCGAACCCGGGGGGGGGGCTTCGGGGCCACGCGTCCCCCGGGCGGCCTGAAGGCCAGCAGCTCCGCGCTCTCCCGGTGGGCCAGCGAGCGGCCCCTGCTGCCGCTGGGGCTGCCCGCGCCGTCGCGGGACCTCGAGCGCCGCCTGGGGCGCTCGCGCACGACCCTGCGGACCTTTCGCCGGCGGCGCTTCTCGCGCCGGGGGCTGTCGGACTCGCTGCACCTGGCGGCCTTCTTCGCCCTCCTCTGCTTCTTGGCCTTCGCGCCCTTCTCCCCCTTGGCCTTGGCCTTCTCCTCCTTCGACTTCTGCTTCTTGGCCCTGGCGGCCTCTCGCTCGCCCTTCTGCAGCCGCAGCGTCTCCTCGAGGTGGGCCTCGGCTCTCCGTACCTTCTCGGCACGGATCTCGGCGGCCTCGTCCTGAGGGCGTGGGGCCTTTCCCCCCGCACAGCCCCCCTCCCTCCCCATCAGCATCTTCCAAGCCCCCCCCCCCCCGGGTCGGGTGCGCCCTTCCCCCTTCCCTTCACGTGTCCTTCCACTCTGCTTCCGTGCCCGCCCCTCCTCGCCGCCCCCCTCTCCACACAACTGATCCTGCTCCCACTCGTCCTGCGAGTCCGACGTGGGGGTCGGGTGGGCATGCGTTCGTCGGCTCCCCGTCCTGCATCTTCTTGATCCGGTCCTTTGCTTCGGTCTCCGCTACCTTGGTCGCCTCGGCTATCCTCGCCATCTTCTCGGAATTGAGCATCTCCTCGTACTCCTTCAACTTGTCCTTCATAAGCTTGTCCTCCACCGTGATGACCCGGGCCACCTGCCCAGACGACGAAGGAAGACGAGCAGAAGGAGGAGGAAGAGGAGGAGGAAGAGGAGGAGGACAAGTGGGAAGGAAACGAGGAGAAGGAGGACCACGGGTGGAAGCGGGTGCGGAATTTGATGATGCAGAGTGCAGAGGGTGGGGATGAGGATAGCGATGGTGAGGGTGAGGATGATGTGGGATGACAAGGAATGCAGAACAAGGTCGCTGCCTCGGGAAGGCATCGAAGCCGCGGTTTCTCGCTGCTATGGCCAGAAATGAAGGAGAAGGAGGACGAATCGGAGGCGGATGAGAATCTGGAGTTGGAAGAGGAACAGCAGTGGGAGGGGGTGTGAGTAGGGGGAGAAGGAGCCGAAAGGGGGGGGGGAGCAGGAGGAGGTGCAGCAGCAGTAGCATCAGCGGGGGCGGCGGCAGCGGCAGGGGCCTGCTCGCCCGCGGCCTTCATGGCCTTCGCCTCCTCCTCTTTGTTGTTGTGCTGCTCGTCTTCCTGAGCGGTGCGCGGGGCAAGGCCGAGAGCGAGCGAGAGGAAGACGCACGTGGGCGCCGCCACAACGGTGACGGAGCATTCGGGGTAGGAGGAACTTCTGGAGGTAGGAACGGGGTGCGGCATAAAGGGGTGTGGTCCCAATCGTGGAAATGGAAATGTTAGTCTACGATCGTTTACATCGCCAGATTCAGCATTGGCAACACACCCCTTTCTGCCACACCCCTTTTCCGACCTGCAGAGAACTGTACCTCATCGCCGATGCATGGGCGACAGACCCAACGACGCGGGAATGAAGAAGATCGGGCTCCGCATCGCCCATGCATCGGCGACGCGGCATGCTCTGCTCCCATCTGGGCGGCCTGCAGGGGAGAGCGAGAGGACAGCGCACAGCGACTGCGACGGCACAGGAAGCACAAACTGCAAAACTAAAAACGTTCGATGCTCCGCGCGGATGTCTTAGGTTTGCGCTGAACCACCCTCCCTGTCGCGCGGAGCGCACCAGGGGCGGCGCCGGAGGCGCCGCCAGGGGGCTCCAGCGCGGATCCTGGAAACCCGAGCGGAGCGTCGAAGTTCATGTCCATGCCGTCGTTTCTTCTTCGAGACGACCACGTGAAGCTGACGCACAGCAAACCGACGAGGGAGCAGGCCACCAAGTGCTCCGCGATGCGCGAGGCGCGCCGCTCTCCGCGCTCTCAAGCCCGCCCCAGACCCCATGACAAAAGAGCAAGTCCTGGGGGCCCAGGGCGCGAAGCGCGAAAAGCGCGAGCTCTCTTCCCGGAGAAAAATTATGCGAACGGGGTTCCCCACATAAGGATGCTACGGGGTTACATTGCTTCTTGTCTGCCACCCGCCCTCGCCTTCTCCATCTTCTTCTATCATCCTCCTCCTCCTCCTCCTCCTGTCTCCTCTTCGTCGTTGTGCGCCTCCCCCATCATCATCACTCTTTTGCTCCTCGTCTTCTTTGTCCTCGTTCTCCTCCTCCTTCTCCTCATCCTCCCCCTCGTTCTCCTCCTCCTCCTCGTCCTCCGCCTCCTCCTCCTCCTCTTCCTCGTTTTTCTAGTTTCCCTCTTTTTTGTCCTCTTCGTTCTCCTCCCCCTCCTCCTCCCGTTCCTCCACCTCCTCGGTGTCTTCGATATCGCCCTGTCCCCGCGTGCCTCGTGCGGAGGTGTCAAGGATTGCCGCGGGAAGCATTCGAAGACTCTGTCATGCACCTGGAGATCTCCCGGCGCCCTCCCGTGGGTCACACTGTCATCTAGAATGTCGCCCTCCTTTCCTCATTAGCTCCCAAGAGCATCGTTTCTGGATGTGCTGGTTGGGGGTAGTAGAAGGGTCAACAATGGTGTCGCGTCGCGGTATGTCCGATGACCTTGCGGCCGTCGTGCCCAGGCACTCCAGGCGGGGCCTGCGGAGGAGGAGGAGGAGGAGGAGGAGGACAACATGAAGGTGGGCGAAGAGGAGCAGGAGAGGGCACGAAACCTGATAAATAGTATGGTATTCGAATACCCTGCGCGCTCACGCGGGGCCTCCTTGGAGGGGTTGGAGGGGCACGAAGCCTGATAAATAGTATGGGATTGGAATACCCTGCTCGCTCAAGCGGGGCCTCCCTGGAGGGGTGGGAGGGGCACGAAGTCTGATAAACACTATGGTGTTCAAATACCCTGCTCGCTCAGGCTGGGCCTCCCTGGAGGGGAGGGAGGTGCACGAAACCTGAAATAAATAATCATGTTTTCGAATACCCTGCTCGCTCAGGCGGGGCCCCCCTGGAGGGGTGGGAGGGGCACGAAACCTGATAAACAGTATGGTATTCGAATACCCTGCTCGCTCAGGCGGTGCCTCCCTGGAGGGGTGGGAGGGGCACGAAATCTGATAAATAGTATGGTATTCGAATACCCTGCTCGCTCAGGCGGAGCCTCCTTGGAGGGGTGGGAGGGGCGCGAAACCTGATAAATAGTATGGTATTCGAATACCCTGCTCGCTCAGGCGGGGCCTCCCTGGAGGGGTGGGAGGTGCACGAAACCTGATAAAGAATATGGTATCTCGCTCACGCGGGGCCCCCCTGGAGGGGTGGAGAGGCACGACACCTGATAAATAGTATGGTCATCGTATACCATGCTCGCTCACGCGGGGTCTCCCTGGAGGGGTGGGAGGGGCACGAAACCTGATAAATAGTATGGTATTCGGATACCCTGCTCGCTCAGGCGGGGCCTCCCTGGAGGGGTGGGAGGGGCACGAAACCTGGTAAAATGGTATTCGAATACCCTGCTCGCTCAGGCGGGGCCTCCCTGGAGGTGTGGGAGGGGCACGAAACCTCATAACTAGTATGGTATTCGAATACCCTGCTCGCTCAGGCGGGGCCTCCCTGGAGGTGTGGGAAGGTATAGTATGGTGTGGAAGGTATGGTATTGTATGGCAGATATGGCATGGTGTGGTATGGAAGGTATGGTATGGTAGCTCTGATGTGGTAGGTATGGTATGGTATTGTACGGATGGTATGGAAAAGGGAACGGGAGGTGGGAAGGTGGGAAGGTGGGAAGGAGAGGGTGTTCTGGGGAAACAAGAACCCCACTCAGGATGTGGGGAACAATCATCGTGCTGTGAGGGAGGGGCTGTAAAAGATACGGGGTACGACTGCGAAATACGCACCTTCAACATATACGGTAACATTGATGCTGTGATCGTTGTTCCCAGCCCCCTCCTCCCAATCCGACAGTTGTCCCAGGGCTGGACCTAAACGTTGTTTTTCGTTTTGTCTTCGTCTTGCTGGTCGTTTTGCTCTACTTGCTTCCCTGTACCTCCCTGCCGAAGCACAGCCGAAGTCCAGCAAAGCAGCGTTCAGGTCCAGCCCCGAGTTGTCTCTCTGCGCTCCGCGCCCCCCCTCCCTGCCATCGCTCGGACGTCCACCCCCCGTGCCTTTGGCGCGCCTTTCTCGTGCGCCTTTCGCGAGATAATCCACGATTATCCCTGATGGTCCTCGCCGAAACAAAATAGTTAGAGGGCAAAAAATCCCCCCCTATCGCGCGTCTCTCGCGAGATGATCCACGATTCTCCTCGATGGCCCTCGCCGCAGCAAAACGCACACGTCCGAGCGATGCCAAACCTCCAGGCGACCGGCGACCTGGGCAGGGTCAACAAATCCACCCCGATAATAACCACCCCGACACACGAAGCCGTTCAGTAAACGCGTCCACAGAAGGAATCCAACAGGGCAAAGCTGTTTAGTAAACGCCCAGGGTCGTTTAGTAAACGACAATTGTCGTGTCCGGGTGGTTCTTCCTCCCTTGACTGGAGGTGCTCAGGAGGCGTCCTGCGCGGCTGCCACCGTCCGTGCGCAGGCGTACTCCGCCTTCTTGCGGGCCCGCGCCTCTCGGGGGGCGCAGAAGGGACGGCAAGGCAGGTGCGTGTCGCGACGACTTCAGCGTTGGTCTTCCTTACACCGCATGGATCTTTCAACATTGATATATCGGCAATTTTCTGGTCGCCAGATCGTATCATGTTGGCCGATTCCAGGCCGCTGGCAACCTTCCACCTTGAACTCACGCGGCGGGGTCGCCGCCGGGTCGGCGCGACACGAATCTGCCGTAGGGCCAGAGGTGGGGTTGCAAGAACATCGCTCTGAACGGTTCCTGGAATTCGCCGGCCCAACGGGCCAGAGGCGTGCTACGATCCCCGGTAACTGCTTCACAGTATTCCGACTTCGCGCGCGGGGGGCGGCCCCTACAGGGGTCCCTGGACGCAAGGTACCCCGGCCAGGTCCCCGGCAGGGTCGGGCCAGAGATGGTGTTCCTTCTGGGCGCGGCTTTCATGCGCCTCAGAGCGATCAATGAAGGCCCCGAGAGGCGCCCAAGACGGTCCAAGAGAGCTCCGAGTCGTCGAACGATCGGTCCGAGACACCGACGATGACTTCCAGACGGCCCACCAAGAGGCCACCAAGAGGCCTCCCACGAGAGCCCCAAGAGGGCCCCGAGAGGCCGACATCGTAGATTTTACGATGGGTTTTGACAGATTTTGGCATTCTCGCCTTTTCGGTTCTCCAACGCTCCAAGACAGTCCAAGAGGCCCCCAAGACAACCCCAAGACGGCCCAAGAGGCCTCCAAGAGGGCCCCAAGACGGCCCAAGATAGCCCCAAGATAGCCCAAGAGGCGCCCAAGACGGCCCAAGAGGGCCCCAGAACAGCCCCAAGAGGAGCCCAAGAAGGGTACCAGGAACCCAAAAGTCCAGCCTTCAGCCCCAAGAGGCCCCCAGGAGGCTGCAAGAGGCCCCCAAGAGGCCCCAAGAGGCCCCAAGGGGCCCCCAAGAGGCACCAACACGGCCCCCAAGAGGCATCAAAACTGCCTCCCAGAGGCCCCCGAGAGGCCAACCACGAGAGCCCAACCAACATCCATGAGGCCTCTGACCCACCACCTAGGCACGATGGCGGGATGGGCCGAAGGCCAAGAAGGAACGAAACGGTTCTTCTGGCTACGAGGGCCCTGAGAGGGGCCCAAGAGGGGGAACACGAACCACCAATTCGAGCCTTCCAAGAGACCCCCAAGAGGCCACAATAGGCCCCCATGAGAGCCCAGGAGGCCCTCTGGAGGCCGCACGAGGCCCCCAAGAGGCCGAACAAGAGGCCCCAAGAGGCCCTTAAACGGCCCCAAGAGGCACCCAGAGGAATACGGGCAGGCGGAATGAGCGAAGCGATTGAATAAGAAAGTATCAGCATCTAGCGGTGGAGAACTCCCCCTCTACGAACCCCCTGGCCTCGTCCTCCAGGCTGCAGCTCATGCTGCTCTCGTCGCTGCTGCAGCTGCCGCCGGAACCGCCCGCGGAGCTGCTGCCACGAAGCATGTCGGCCAGTTTCCTGTCGCGGTCCTCCGGGCGCCCTTCCTTCCCTTCCCCTCCCTCCCTGCAACGCACGGGCGACTCCAGGCAGCAATGACATCAGTGTCCTCCTCCTCCTCCTCCTCCTCCTCCTCCTCCTCCTCCTCCCGTCCTCCCTCCCTCCCTCCCTCCCTGCTCCTGCATTCGGGCCTTCAGGCCCGCGCCCAGGGTCCTCCGAGTCGGCGGAGACGTCGACGCTGCTCACGCTCACGGACCCGTCGGCGCTGCTGCCACGGGCCCGCCGCCGCGAGCGGCACCGCCGCTTCACCCGGCGCTCGCGCCTCCTCGGAGGCTTTCGGACAGATCTGCACAGGCCTCCCTCGTCAGGAAGTGGCCTTGACGGGCTGTGGTTCGTCAATTTGGGCCTCTGGGGATCCCAAGACGAACAAATATGATCGACCCGCGAACCCGGAAACGAAAATCCACCGACCCTGTCGGCGTGTGTAAGACGCTTTCGCCCGTGCGGTCGCCGCCATCCCTCTTGCAGCAATCCACTCCAGCCACTACGCCACCTACCGTTGACGTGGAGGTGGAGGCGAAGCTATCCACTCCAGCCAATACGCCACATTACATCGTTCACATGGAGGTGAAGGCGAAGCCCTTCCCTTGGATCCCTTCCCGGGGCGGAGGGGGGGTCCAGGGGGGTCCCGCGGGGGTGATCCCAGCCGGGGGGTGGTCCTGGGGGGTGGTCCCGGGGGGTGGTCCCAGGGGTGGTCCTAGGAGGGTGGTCCCCAGGGGTGATCCCGGGGGGGGTCCCCTGGGGAGGCAGCCGAGGGGAGGGGCCCAACGCCAGGAAGGAGCCATCGCGAGGTCGCCTGGGCGGCAGCCAGCAGGGAGGAGGGAGAGAAGCGGAGCCACACGAACGCGAACGCAGCGAACGCGGACAGCAAGGGCGACAGCACAAGACAACGAGACAGCCGCCGCTCCTCCTCCTCCTCCTCCTCCTCCTCCTCCTCCTCCTCCTCCTCCTCCTCCTCCTCCTCCTCCTCCTCCTCCTCCTCCTCCTCCTCCTCCTCCTCCTCCTCCTCCTCCTCCTCCTCCTCCTCCTCCCTTGGCTTGCGCCACGGCGCTTCCCGCGGGGAGGCCCGCGCCCGGTCCTGCGCGGGGGACTCCTCCCGGGGCTGGACGCCTCCTGCCGCACATGCCGCACGTCCTTCCACCTCGCCTGGGGCAGATGGGCCCCCCTCCCCCCTCCCAAAACAAATCGGCGGCGAGCCGGGGGGGGGGGGAGCAGGGGCGGGCCTTCTCAGAAGGCTCGGAGTGCCCCGGCCGTCTGAGAAGTTCTCTGAGCCTTTTCCGAAGAGGAAACTTCTCAGAAGGTGCGAAGGCTTCGGAGAAGTCCCGCCGCCTTCCGAGAAAGCCTCCTTCTCGCTTCCCCCCCTCGCTCGCTCTCCCCAACAGCCTCCGACCTCTCCTGGCCAGCGCCAACTAGCCAACCAGACCGCTGGAGGTCAGAACGCCGCGCCGACGGTTTTCCGCCAGTGCTGGCCTCCAGAGGCCAGACCCCCAGACCCAGGGCCTCACAGAAGACGGCCGAAGAGGTCGCGAGGTCCAGAGGCTGTTGTGACTCCGAATTACGGCAGGTTCGCGTCGTGTCGACCCCCGGCAATGGTTCCTGACACCGCGGGGATCGTCCAAACTTGAACGATCGGACGTTCCGTGAACGCCGGATCGTTCAACGACGGGCCGATTCTGGGCCACGGGCGGCGTTTAACCTTACACGCACGCGGTGGGGTCGCCGCTGGTCGGCACGACGCGAACCTGCCGTAACAGGACGTCGTCGTACAGTCGGGCTGCTGAAAAAAGGAAGGGGAAAAAGAAACTGAGCCCTTTGTTTGGCCACACAAGCACCTGCGTACGGAGGAGCAGCCATGGAAGGAACCACGGAAGAGCGAACCCCTTTCCGAACCCAAAGCGGTCCTTCTTTAGCGGTCCTTACTTCAACGTCTTGGCTGTAAGTCTTGGCGCCCTGCTCCTGGGAGCAGGAGGATCCGCTACCGTGCTGTTGGCGTGTTGCGACGCTGGAAGAATGCTGCCGTAATGCCCGGTACGGTCTCTGCAATATTCCTACGGCTGCCCCCAGCCCGTGCTCCCCTGGCCCGACCATCCGTAACAAGCCGCACCCTAGTGTTGCTCCACGGCGGCATGTACTGCCTTCAGGCGGCTCCGAGCCAGCCGAAGACCGCCCAACCAGGGAAGCGATACACCCCGAGACCATCCAAATGCAGTCAATCAAGCGAACCAGCGCAAGCGAGAACTCCCTCATATGCCCCAAGATGCGTGACGAGGCCTACAAGGGACGCCCGAAGGAAGAGGCATCCAGCAACGCGCTCAGAGGAACCACACGCTGAAACAACTGAAGAGCATCTATGCGTTTTGCTCCCGAAGCCTTCCGGCTGCAGATAGCCTCGGTGAAGCTTCAAAGTGCCCAAGAAAAACCAAATGGCCCAAACTTGCCCTAGGATAGCCTCCAGGTGGCCCCAAGATGGCCCCAAGACCGAGGGATCTGTTGAACACCGCCCGCCCTCCATCCCTGAAACTGTTGCAAATTCTGAAGCTTCAGGATCACACATGGGAAAATCTCAAGCGAAACGCCTGGCCCACCCTTTCGACCAGCCTTGGGGTGAGACAGGGAGGAGTTATCTTTAAGGACAGGGAATGGAGGAGGGGATGGAGGAGCGCCAGGACCTCATGGCTCGGGCACGAGAAGGAGGGGGAGGAGGAGGGGCAGGAGGAGGGATGGAGAACGGGGCCCTACTGGCCTTCCTGGGGCTGTCCTTGATCGACGACTGATCAGACCTCTTCGACAACCATGAACGGCCAAGCCGAACCCCGCCCGCGGAGGGGTGGCGCAGTCGATCGGCGCCGCTGGCAGACGTTGGTACGGGCTATCGTTTCGATCGGATCGTGGCCAGCCCTGCCCCCGCCCCGCTGCCCCCCACGCCGTCAGGACCACCCAGACCCCCGACGTCGCGATGATCTTTCCCACGTTGTGGACCCCGGGAGGCCTGGGCCCCTGGACCCCGGAGCTGGCTCTTCATCCCGACCCGACTCTTGACCGTCCGCGGGGCCTGGTGACGGCCCCAGGGGGCCCAAAGCGAAGCCAAGCCCCTTCTTGAGCGCCCCTCCTCGCCGAGGACGCCTCGCGCCGCGCGGGGCACGCGGCGCCGCTCCGGGGCGCCCCGTTCCGATGATCAGCGGGCGCCCTCCTCCCCCCTTAGGGGCAGATCGTGGGGGGGGAGAGAAGAAGGAGAGGAAGACGAGGAAGAAGGAGAGGAAGAGGAGGCAGGGGGGGGCCCAAAACTGCAACGGGCTAGGGCTCTCCGTCGTGCTTCCTCCGAGGCGCGAAGGGGCTTGGGCCGCCCCCTCCCACCTCCGGGGGCCGCCCGGGGGCTTCCTTCTGACCCCGAGGCGCTCGGCCTGGTTGGCCCGCACCGGCGCGACCACAGGCCGCCGCGCGCGGGCCTGGTTCATGCACCTGCGGACAAAGTTCGTCAGCAGCGCCGAGTAGTCGGCCTGGCCCTCCTCCCGCGGGCGGAAGTCGGAGATCACCGCGGTCTGGATCTCGCCCGGCTGCTTCGCCAGGAAGTCGAAGGCGCGGTCGTCGACGGGGTAGCGCTCGCGGAAGGCGGCCAGCTTCGGGTCCTCGGAGGGCGCCTCCTGGGAGGCGGGGGCCGTTCGCTCTGCAGGATCTCCAGCAGGTCCAAATCCCGGATCCCCAAGGCCGCGCTGACGGCGTGCTTGGTTAACGATGCGATTGGGAATCATGTTTTTGTGGCACCGAGCTCACGGAAAAAAATGAAGAAATCACGAAACACCGCTTCCTAGATTTCAACTATGCGAATATATCGAACCAAAACGACACAGCGGCTTGTAGGAAAACCCGAGCCACGAACCACACCTTCCTACATTTGGTTTGGCCACGGATCACGCCTCCCTACGGTTGGTTGTCCTACTTCGCCGTTAGCTACCACACAGTTAGCGCGTCTACGGGGCTCTCCTTCCCCAAGATCCCTGATTCTCTGACCGCGTGCAGCCGAGAGAGGACGAGCAGTGGGGGGGGGAACACTGTCTCTGCCGCCAGTGATGCTGCACAAAGTCAGGCTCGTACAGCTCGGGTCGATCCGCTCAGAGCGAATGGGCTGGTGTAGCCTACTGCGTCTGCACCTCTTCTCCGTTGGAGTCCCGAAACGGTGCGGTGACAGACCGTGCGGTGACCTCGAAATCCCCCAAGACCTCACCGCACGGTCCGTCAACGCACGGTTTTGGGACCTCGGATGCCCCAGTCGCCCGAGACGTCCTCGGAGAACGACCCGAGTCCCAAAACCGTGCGGTGACATCGAATCCCTACCGACTCACCACACGGTGTGGCCACGGCCACCACCCCGTTTGGGGGCCCCCGATCCTCTCATGAGCAAAGAGGCAAGGGCTGGAGCAACGTCTCTGCGAGCATAGCCAACGGGGCCCTGGAAGAAATGCTGAGAGCAAAAGCGCAATTCTGTGGATGCGTCTTTCCCGAGGATGGATGCCGGGATGGGCAATAGAGTCAGGTCGGGCATGGCCCCCTACAGGCGGATTTTGGATGAAAAATGCAAAATAACCAAACTATACACCAACATAATCAAACATGGTAGAACAAAATTCGTCCCCTGACGATTTTTGACAATGTTTGAATATTCCTCCTGTGCAACTTCATAATACATAGACAAAAGGAGGGGGAGGCGAGGGCAGGCACACGGACCCGCTCGTCGCTCGTGACGGCAAGAGAGGAGCTGGACGACAACGTGAACGACCTCTCTCGTAGGCCCACGCGGACCTCTTGGATCCGTGCCGGACCCCTTCCCTGGCGCGCGGAGCGCGCCAGGGGCGGCGCCGGAGACGCCACCAGGAGGGACACGGCGCCGACCGATCCTCGAAATCGTGTCCGTGCCAGTTCTCTTCTCTCTTTTTTCCGAGTCCGGAGCAGAGGCGGTCGGCTCCTTCGCGTCTGGGCTCCGGGAGCGGCTGCGCACTTCCACGGCCATGGCTGGCCCGAGCGGCGGCGGGCCCCCTCTGCACAGGGCACCGCCCGCGGGCCCTCAGCCTCCTCGGCCTCGCGCCGCTCGTTCTCTTCGTGGCCCTGCCTCCTCCGCACTCCTCCTCCTCCTCCTCCTCGCCATCCTCCTCGCGCGATCTCCCTCTTTCCTGGAGCGTGCTGCCTCCCGGGGCGGGAGCAGCAGGACCGCCTCGGAGCCCGGCAGGCAGGGGCTGCAGTCGCGTGTGCTGCCCTCGTGTCCGTAGAGCTCGCCCCCCCTCCTGCCGGATCTGTCTCGGCGCCCTCGATCTCCTCGCTCCTCCTGCCGTCCTCCTCGCCCGACCTCCGCCGTGATCAAGACACGACGCCGCGACAGAGGTCACGACTGGAACCTCCCAACCCCATCTTGGCACGGCATCGGGGTTTGCTCTAGCCGGACCGATCTGCGGGCCCCCCCCCGGTGACCGGAACGGGAAAATAACGCCCGTCGTTTTTTGTTGCTGTGCACGGCGCCTGGGTATCGGGCAGGCTTGCGGAGGCTCAGGGCTGTGCTGAGGCTACTGATGATGATTGTTATCGTTGCTGTCGTTGCTGCAGCTGTTTTCGTGATCGTTCTCATCGTCGTCATCGTTGTCGTTGGTGTCGTGGTCGTTGTGATCGCTTTCGTTGTAATCACTGCTATCCGTGACGGGGCCGAGATGCCGAGGCTCAGGTGCTGCGGCTCTCGGGCATGCCCACCGTAGAGGGCAGAAAATCCACCCTTATAATAACCACCCCGACACGCGAAGCCGTTTAGTAAATGCACCCCAAAGAGGGAATCAAGCAGGGCAGGGCTGTTTCGTAAACGCCCAAGACCGTCTAGTAAACGCCCGCTGTCCGGTCCGGGTGATTTTTCCTCCCCTGGACACCGAGGCCCAGAAGCTGAGGCCCGGGGCCTCCCCGCCCCGAAGGCTGCTCAGGCCCAGGGCTACGCACGCGGAGGCCTCTCTGGAGGCAACTTCGGGGGGGCGTAGAGCCTGCCGACGTGTCACTGACGCAACACACGGGGTTTTAGCGTATGCTACACATGTTGGGCAAGCATGTGGAGGACAGCGATTGGGTCATTGAGAAGGTGCGCTAGACATGATGCCAATCGATCCGGTGCACATGCAATCATGTGTGTGATACTTTGCGCGACATGTATGCTCGTATGTGTCAAATGCTTGATATGTGGGCTGCATGTGTTGCAGATGTATGAGCGTCGTATGTGTTTGCCACAGGATTACACATCTAAATCATGAATATGCTAGCGTGACTTATCGTGTACATAATACTTATGTGCTAGTTTATATGGCATGCTGAAGGTATGCGTTATGACGTAAGTGTGGTAGTTGCATCTTTATTCCTGCACGATGCAAGGAGGGTGAGCGAGCAGTTTGAGGAGGAAGAGAGAGAGCGAGAGAAGTTGGAGGGGGGGTAATCGAGAACCCGCATGTGGGCCGCACGGAGTGCACGGATAGTTCAGTAGGTTGACAGCTGCCAGTTGTCAACCGCCAGTCTCATGAGAAATCACCATGGGACATTCCCAACTAACCCAGAAGGTTCGGGTATCACAATGGCCAGGAACACATTTTGAACGTGTGCAGCGTTTGCGCTAGACGCCACAGGGGCTCCGATGTTGACGACTTCGCAACGCCTGGCAACCCTGAGAACGCTCTGGGAGCTCAAAGCACGAAGTGGATGAAGACGAGGGCGAGGAGGAGGGGTGAGGAGGAGACGGAGAAGGGCGACGGGGGAAAACGAACAGGGGACCGTGGAGAGGAGCAGGATGGCAGACGAGAAGGGATGAGAAGATCGTACAACGGAGTGTCCAAGCAGTGTACGCAGAGGCCGAGGACCGCAGAACAGTGACGAAGAGCCTCGACCAACCGAAACATACATCTCGACCCCCAATAGCGAGCGAAAGTTGCGACATAGGCTACGCTGCAGCACCCAGGGGGGGCGAAGACTCGCCTGGATTTGCATGCGATGTCATTCCGGTCCACCTCCTGGGGCACTGGAGTCGGGGGCGTCCAAGGGGGAGAGCGTCCAAGAGGGGGCGGCGCAAATCATGGCCGGCGGCATGTGCACGGCCCAGGGGGTGGCCGGAGACGTATTCGCATTGAAATAAAAAGAGGCGCCATGAAATCTAAGGACATATCATGGCCCACGCCACGATATCCACCCCTCCCTAGTCATCACCCCCCTCTTGGCCGCCCCCGATGGAAGGGCTTACATGTACACGCATGACAGCACCGGGGAAGGGCGAGGTCTAGCAGTTCGGATCTGAGTGTGGCGGCATTCCCCTGGACCCCCCAGGGGCGAACAACATGGGGGTACTGCAGACACCCCAGGGGCGCAGGAACGTGGCGCCAAGTGCACGCATGGAACCATGGGGGGAGGGACACGGTGTCTAGTTTGGATCTGCGCGTGGCGCCGTTCAGATGAGTCCCCCGTGGACGCGAGGAGGGGCGGGAGTTCCACGCGAAGCAGCAACCCTGGGGTGTGACGCCACGTTTGGATCTGCGTGTGACGCCACAGCGCTGCAACCTCGGGGGGCGCAGGAAATGGGCGACAGGTGCCAATCAGGGAGGCACTGGTGGTCCGCAGAAGATTCTGGAGGGTTCCCAGAGATCTGGTGACACCGTAGACCCTCCTCAAAGCAAAATGTTCCCTATGTATTCCCCCTGAGCCTGCAAATAATCAAAGGCTTCCCTCCCTCTATCCTCCTCCCTTCTTCCTCGGGCTCCTCCTCCTCATCCTCCTCCGCCTCATTCCTGGAAGGAGGGGGAGTAGAGGTGGCAAGGAAGGGGGGGAGGAAGGGGGGGGCAGAGGGAGGCTCTGGAGATCCCCTCCGAGTCCGCCCTCGCACTTCTCCTCGTGCTCGCCAGGCTCCCGTGGCATCCTTCCTCGTTGTTTCACTCCTCATCCCACTCCCCGTCCTGCTCGTCCTGCCCCCCCCTCCTTGAACCTCCGACGAAGCGGCGATTCTGATGTTTTTTTCAGTTCTGACTGTCCAGAAGCGACAAGCTGATCCCCTGGAAGGGGTCGAGAGTTCCAGGGAAGCAGGAAATAAGCAATTGGGACATCGGATGTAGTATATGCACCTCATCTCCTTCTTCTGCGTCTTTGTTCTCTCTCTCCTCCTCCTCCTCCTCCTCCTCCTCCTCCTCCTCCTCCTCCTCCTCCTCCTCCTCCTTCTCCTCCTCCTCCTCCAACTCCTCCTCCTCCTCCTCCTCCACTTCCTCCTCCTCGTCCTCCCTGTTTGTTTCGCTCTCGTCCTCCTCCTCCTCCTCCTCCTCCTCCTCGTCCTCTTCCTCCTGCTCCTCCTCCTCCTTCTCTTCCTCCTGCTCCTCCTCCTCCTCGTCCTCCTTATCATCCTCATCTTTCTGTCTCCCTCATCCTCCTGCTCCTGAAGCTGTTCCTGCTCTTCCTCCTGATAGTATCACAAGGACCCTCGGGAGACCCCTTAAAGGCGAAGCGCCATTTCGCCATCGAAATCCATCCCCCTGGGAATCAGCAATTCCTAGGCACCCTGCTGCCTCCCTCGCCTGCAAGCTTGAGTAGACTGGCCTGCGGGCTCTTTCCTTCTCCGCGCTGGCATTCCGCCTCCTCCACCTCCTCCTGCCTGCCTCGCACTCGTCCTCGCTATCGCGCTCGTTCTTCTTCCGCCAGATAGCCCAGCGCAGAATGAACTCCAAGTGACGCCCGGTTCCTCGTCCTGCTGATGTCCCAATTCCGTTGCGGTCATCAGTTAATCGTCCTCTTCCTCTTGCTTCTTCTCCTCCTGTGTCTCCGATGACCACCTGCAGGCGCGACTGAGAAGCCGCAACACACAATTATCAGGAAGATCATGGTTGGTCTGGACACGCCTGCGGGTGGAATTGACAGCTAAGGTAGTCGTTCGGGCTAACTGCCAAGGGAAGGAAAAGGGGGCAGAGGACGAGCGAACGGATGAAGCAAAACCGACAGAGGACAAACAAATCAAGATGCAGGACACATTTAACAAACGGACGAATGCAACTAAGTAAGTAAGCCCGTCATACTCGACCGAACGGTTAATGCGTGTCAGGGGCGGCTGCGCATGGCATGCATCCGCCTGGTCCAGAGGGTCATCCGCTGCCAACAAAATACCAGGGCGCGAGGCCGAAGGCGCAAGCGGAAGCAACACACATTGACATCAGTGGGCGATGCGTTGTTCAGAAAATCGTAGCACGCAGCGGAAGGAGCCCGAACGGGCGGTCGGCTTTCCCAGCATGAGAGGCGACGGGCATGTGACAAAGTATCGCCCTGCGCCAGTTCAGGCTGCCCCACCACTGGCTCTCTCTCTCCCTCTCTCCCTCACCCTCTCGATGTCGCTCTCAATCTCTCGCTCTCGCTCTCTCTCTCTCTGGCTGTCTTTCTGTCTCTCTATCTCTCTCTCTCTCCCTCTCGCTCTCCTCGTCCCTCTCTCTCTCTCTCTCTCTCCGTACTGGTGCCAGTGGCAGCCAATCTTTGCCCTGAGAATCATCGCATACCGGCCCAGGCAGCAATTCCAGCTGCAGCGCTGCTCTCTCGGCTGCCCGCTGCGTGCACCCAGGCGCACCACATTGCCCACCGCGGGCCCAAGCAAGGCCAATGGGATGCACAAAGGCACACTAATACTATATGTCCTCCTTTGAGGCGCGCGTCCGACCGGAACATTTAGTATAACCATCTTGTAGTAGATCGTTTTACGAGCGGCGTGGCAAGAAAGCGCACGCTATGACGCATATACTAGAACATTTCTCGGTGCGCGCGTCGCCCCTGGGGGGGCGACGCACATATACATATAGTATAAGTGTGTCGGGGTGACGCCGAGCCAAGGCCAAAGCATTCAACCCCCTCCGCTCACATCACATACAGTCGACCGTACGATAAGGGCGCACAACAAGGATGCAAGGGCCTTGGAAAGCCATGTCGACACTTTGCGAGCGGGGCGCGGCCAGCGCAAGCGGCCAAGGACGGGCCGAAAGGGAAGGATGCAATTCTGACCTTGGAAATGCGCTCATCCTTACTACGCGAGTTGACTGTACGTGCCACCACCGTGCCCCGCTCCTCATCTGCCTCCTTCCACTGCGCTGCCTTCCGTGTCTGCCTCCCCTCGATACCGCCCCTCTGCCTCTCCCGCCCCATCCCGATTCCCCACCTTCCCTCCGTCACCGCCCCTCCCCTGACCCCCCTGCCACCCTGAGAGCCATGAGCTCTTCCAAGTGGGACGAGTGGACAGCACGGGGAAGAAACCTCTTCCGCCCATGTCCGTCCTGACCCTCTTCCTTGTCCCTGACTCCACCCGCTGGGTTGGTTGTCGGTGGTTCGTGAAAAATACCCTGCTGACCATCAGCCGACAAGGAAGATTGGAGTGACAGTGAAATCACAACATGTGAATCCCGTCCCGTGTTTCAAACCAAAGCTTCGTGCTGACAGCTTCGCTGCTGACAGCGCCATTTCCAGATTTTGGCTAGCTCCACGTGCTCCCCCAGATCAGATCGGGGGAGCGCAAGCTATCCACCCACGCCGGACCCCAGAATGCCTGCTCCTTCCTGGCCAGGCCAAGAAGCGGCCTCCATCGCCTCCTTGGCCCGACCAGGATCGGTGCAGGGGGGTACTCTGCGCAAGCCCCGGGGAAAGAGGCACAACGAATAGCACGAGATGCACACACAAGCTCTTGGAGGTCCGCGCGGAACTCTTGGGTTGCCACTTGACTAACAGGGGGTATGTCGACCCCTATCCCAGGCTTCGTGGATTTCCGAATGGACCAGACATTTGAGGCCCAACCCTTGGATATTCGATGGGCAGGCGTCCGTACTCGATATGGGGTGCGTCCGAATAGCCCCCTGGAGGTGTATCCCCGAGTTCCCCCCACTTTCTGAGCGGCTTGACTTTTCGTGGAAAAGTTGGGGATTGGGGGCGGCAACGGCACCTGCGATTGACACCCTCCCCGCACCCTGGGGGTGATTCCCCGCGCCCCCCTCAGGCCCGCAGTGGCTGCCCCGCGGCCCCCGCGGTGGCTACCGTCGCCCCCGCCGCCTGCCTCGACGAGCGTGCTCTCCACGCACTCTGCGGCCTCCTCCTCCCTCCTCGCCCTCGTGCTCCTCCTGCTCCCCCTGCTCCTTCCTCCTCCTCCTCCTCCTCCTCCTCCTCCTCCTCCTCCTCCTCCTCCTCCTCCTCCTCCTCGAGTGCCGGCTTGTCGCAGCTGCTCACCGCGTCCATCAGACGAGCTGCGGCCACCGGTCGTGCGGGGAGCAAATGCACGTGGATCGGCGATGCCTCGCTCGCCGGGCACTGCTCCGCGGATCTGACGCGGCCGCTCTGCAGCCGAGCACGATCGAAGGGCTTTGCACGCCCGAAGCCGTCGGGCCCAGCGCTCCTCGGCCGCATGGGGTGGGGGCACGCCATGCGAATCCGGCCGAACTTGAGACCAAACGCCGTCGAAACCTCTACATTGCCCTCCCACCCATTTCACCATCCTGCGTGAGGACCCTCCTTCAGGGATGGAGCATGGAGCGGCCGGAACGTCTCTGTCCCTCCGAGGGCAGGGGATGTGAGAGCTCCCAGCCCCATCCGGTGCCCTGGGCCCTGCCGAAAGCGGGCGCGCTCCGACGAAACCGCTGGCCCCAGCATCCCGAAAACGATGTGGGCTCGGCGCCGAAGTTTCCCCGGGCGCACGTGCTGAGCAGCCCCGGCTTCGCCCACGAGGGCCGAAGGCGCATCTGGCGTGGCGCCCGCCAAGGGGGGTCCATCTGTCGAGCTTTGAGGCGTGTTCGGCGCTTCTCTGGGACCTCCCAGGAGGGAGAGAAGAAGAAATAGGAGGAGGCCCAGGTGTGCCGGTCTAGATCACCAGCCTCTGCCCTGAGAACTGAGACGGAGGGATGGGCGGGAGAAAGCAGAGGGGGAGCGAGCGATCGAGCGACCACGACAAGTGCGGACAGGCGTCTGGGTCTAGCTAAGACCAGGAAGAGGAGGGCTTGGCCTCTGCGGCGAGGGAGAGCGGGGGAGGAGGGGAGAGAACGGCGAAACTCCTCCAAGACCCCTTTCATCCAGGACACCTTCTCTCCAGGGCGACTCTTACATCGGCATCAGCAGTTCTCTCGCGTTGCGTTCCGATCAGAATTTCCGAAAGGAATCCAACCGCGGCGACGAGGACCCAGCCCAATGGCCCAAAAAAGTCCGCACAATATCCAAATCATAAGACCCTACACCTCCAAAGGCCCACTTCCTGCACGCTGAGCAAGGCCAGGCGGAACGGCTTTGGCGGTCGATGGCTCCTTAAGCAACAACGGCATGTCCCAGTTCTCGGGGTCCCGGGCGGACACGAGGAACACCTGCGATGGCGAAGACGCGCCCTCCCCTCGAGGAGGGAGGGGCAGGAGGGAGGGGGAGGAGGGAGGGGAGGGGGAGGAGGGAGGGGAGGGGGGGAGAGGGGAGGGGGGGGGAAGGAGGGGGAGAGGGGGGGGAGCAGCACAGATCAGCGAAGGACAAAACAGTAAGAGCGAGGTGTGGATATCGGAGGGGGCCTGTGTGGGCCAGAAACCAAACGACACCACCCCGCCTAAGACCCGGCGGCGTTGAGCGTTCAGGCACCTACGACCAACTACGACTCGCCTACCACGCCACCCCGCCTGCGAGCCGCCTACGACCAGGTGGGTCGCAGGCGGGGTGGTGTCGACTGGTTCTTGGCCGACTCCGTGTGCACCGCGGAGAGGGGCGACGTCCCACGGCGGGCCAGCGGCGGCCCCCGCTGCAACGAGACGAGGCCATCGTACGGGCGCGAGCCCAGACCACGAGGATGGACGGGGGGGGGGGGCGGCAGGGCGGAGGCAACATTTTGTTTGATACGGTGTAGGTTTCAAGTAAGGATGCCTTCGACAAGGAACCCAGGGTCTCGCGACCGATGGGCGGTCAAACACGGGCCACCCGTCTTGCCTTGAGACAAGAAGGAATGCGCCAGGGTCTGGGCCCCAGGTAGACGTTCCTTGTCCAATGCCGCCGCCGTACTTCTCGCTCTTGCTTGACATGCGTTGTCTTTGACAGGCCTGCAGATGCCTCCGGGGGCCTCTGGCAGCCCCCAAGAGCTTCCCCGACCAGCGAAAAATCACCTGGACGACAGGGGGGCCAGAGCAGGCCGACGCTCTCACTGTGATGGTCAGTCCGGGCGCCAGAGAGGCGCCGCCAAGAAGGCCCACCACGGATCCTACAATTCCACACGGAGCTTCGAAAGTTTGTATTGATGCAAATTGGTATTATTCTTCTTCATCTTCACCTCCTTCTTAACCAGAGTGAGGGGACTGAGCCGAACGGTCATTCACTCTCCCTGGGTGCGTGGCTCAAAAGGACTTCCGCGATGCGGATTATTGTTGTTGTTGTTGTTGTTGTTGGTGTTGTTGTTGTTGCTGTTGTTGTTGTTGTTGTTGTTGTTGTTGTTGTTGTTGTTGTTGTTGTTAATGTGTGTTGTGTGTTGTGTGTTGTTTGTTGTTTGTTGTTGTCGTCGTCCCACCCGCGACCCGCCCCGCGACCCACCCGCGACCAACCCCGCGACCCACCCGCAACCCACCCGCGACCCACCCCCCGACCGACCCGCGACCCACCCCGCAACCCACCCGCGACCCACCCCGCAACCCACCCGCGACCCACCCCGCGACCCACCCGCGACCACCCCGAGACCCCCCCGGCGATCCACCCGCGACCCACCAACGACCCACCCGCGACCCACCCGCGACCCGCCCCGCGACCCACCCGCGACCGCACCCGCGACCCACCGCGACCCACCCGCGACCCACCCGCGACCCACCCCGCGACCCACCCAAAATTTTCGGCGCCTGCGGCGGGTTTCTTTTGCATTCGTTCCAAGTGGAGAACCTGCGACCCACCCGCGACCCAAACCGCGTTCAGTGTACAAATCAAAATTTTCGGCGCCTGCGGGGGGCTGTTTTTGAATTCCTTCCTGGTGGAGGTGGAGAGCCGCGACCCACTCGCGACCCAAACTACGTTCACTGAACAAGCCAAAACTTCGGCGCCTGCGGCGGGTTTCTTTTGCATCGGCGACCCACCCGCGACCCACCCACGACCCACACCGAGACCCACCCGCGACCCGCCCCGCGACCCACCCGCGACCCACCCGCGACCCACCGCTACCCACCCGCGACCCATCCGCGACCCACCCCGCGACCCACCCAAAATTTTTGGCGCCTGCGGCGGGCTGTTTTTGAATTCCTTCCAGGTGGAGGTGGAGGAGCCCGCGACCCACCCGCGACCCAAACTACGTTCACTGAACAAGCGCGCTCCGCGGAGGAGGGGAGGAGCAGGGCGAGGAGCAGGAGGAAGACGACGACGACGACGACGACGAGTACGAGGACGAAGAGGAGGCCGACGACGACGGCGAGGAGGAAAAGGAGGGGGGGACGGAGGGAAACGACGAGAAAGGAGGGAGGAGGGGGGGAGGAGGAGGACGACGACGACGGAAAGGAGGAGGGGGGAGGATCGGGATGGGGGAGGAAGAGGAGGAGGAGGAGGAGGAGGAGGAGGAGGAGGAGAAGGAGGAGGAGGAAAAGGAGGAAGAAGAGGAGGAGGAAAAGGGAGCGGACGACGACGACGATGAGGACGAGGACGCGGACAAGGAAGAGGAGGAGGAGGAGGAGCAGGAGGAGGAAGAGGAGGAGGAGGAGGAGGAGGAGGGCGCCATCGACAGGGAAGGTGAGGGCCACGAGGTCCGCCGGCTCGACGCCCACGTCGCCCGCGCCCGTCCCCTCACTCTTATCCGCAATTGCGGGGTGCTACGTATCATTTGTTCGTCTTCTTCGACACCTGAAGGCGGGAGGAGACGCACTGAGCAGTGTCAGGGGAAGCGGCGGGCCTACTCTGCTGCACGACCACCCCTCGTGATAGACCCTGGGGGGCGGCCGGCCCGTGGGCCAGGACCGGTCCCGAGCGCGGCCAGCGCCTTGCCCCCCAGAGCACTGCCGTAGGCCAGCCGCCACCCCGGTCTTCCAATGGCGGTGTGTTGTTGTTGTTGCTGATGCGGTTGTTGAGCTCGCACTACTGAAGAGTAATTATTGTTGATCCCCCCTCCCTCCGGTGCACATTGTTTTTCCATTGAAGTGCCCCTCCCGTCGCTTGCACCTTTTTTGTATCAGGGAAAGCCTTCCTCCTCAAACTGTGTTGTTGGCCCCTGGTTTACAACAATAACGGCACCCGCTTGATACTTCCTCGGAATTTACTCAGGTCCCCCGCTCCCGCTTGAGACTTCCTCGCAATTTACTCAGGCGCCGCGCTCTTGCAATTCAGGAATCGCGCGTTCGCTGGGGACTTCCTCAAATTTACTCAGCAATCGCTCTCTCGCTGGAAATTTCCTGGCTTATCACGCAGACAGAACTCACGATCGATCCGCCCGCTCGGCCCGCCCGTCAGGGTCATGCCCTTCGTGCCCCATGCTCGCTCGTGCAATATGTGCCTTATTGCTGCCCTTCGTGGCCTCTCCCCTTGTGGCCCGTCGCTGCCCTTCGTGGCCCTGATGCTGTCCTCAGTGGCCCCTCGCTGCCCTTTATGGCCCATATAGACAACCTTCGTGGCCCCTAGTCGCTCGTGCCCTCAGTGGCCCCATTGCTGCCCTTCGCGGCCCCGCTACTGCCCCCTGTGGCCCCTCGCTGCCCTTTGTGGCCCATGTATACGACCTTCGTGGCCCCGAGTCGCTCGTGCCCTCAGTGGCCCCATGCTGCCCTTCGTGGCCCCAGTGTAGCCCCGTGTGCTCTCTCTCTCTCTCTCTCTCTTTCTCTCCTTTCTCACTCCTCGTGCTTTTTTAGGGGCTGCGCCCAATCACGTGGCAGGTCAGGAAGATGTCCCCCCAGAGGGGGTACGATCGAAGACGAAGAGGGCGGGTATCGGGGGTTGGGATATACGTGGTGAGGTACGCGCGAACATATAAGAACGATCAAGAGTTAAATGATTGTAATTGGTGGTGTTGTTATTGTTCCTGCGCCATGCTGGAGATGAAGGAGTCGAAAAATGAACGACTGCCACCACAACCTGCCACGAGTCACCGTGATGAAAAAGAGGCACCGCGCGTGATGGGGTGATCTGACCGTCAGGGTCTACCCTGACGGGTGTGTCTCTTTCCATTGCTTTGATTAAGGGTGGGCCCATCTGGCGACGCACGCCAGACTTGACGATTGTCGTCTTCTTCTGCCCTCCTTCCTGTCGATGATCGCGTCCCGATCCTCGATCCTCCTCCCTCCCCCTCGTGACCGAGGATCCTCCAGGGAGATCGAGGATCGAGGATCCTCGATCGAGGAGGATCGAGGAAGGTCGAGGATCGAGGACGATTGAGGATCGAGGGCTCCCTGCCCCGCTCGCGCCTGCTTCAGGCCCGCCTTCTGGAGCACGTCCTGGTCGCCGCCGCCCCCCCCCCCCGCCCTCCCAAGCCAGGCAGCGAGGCGGGAGTCGGCAACGGGCGAGGTCGAGGGGAGGGCGCCGCATCGGCACTGCATGATCACAGCAATTACTAGTTGGTCGCAGCATTGCATGAGCAACTGGGCTGCCCTTTGCTGATAACTGATCGACTGCAGACCCCATGCATCGTCATCCTGCCCCTCCTCACCCCACCTTCCCCATTATTTTGCTCTTCCGCAGCCCTATCCTCCGCACATTCCCCCCCCTGCGCCTCGTCCTCAACTGGACCCAGTCCACTCATCCTTCTGACCAGATTCCCGTTCTCCATTCCCATCCTGATCGTTCGCCTGTTACCCTTCCTGACCCTGCACTTCCTCGTTCTCCTCTTCCGAATGGTCACCGTCTCATTATTATCACTCTCTCCTTCCTCCTCCTCCTCCTCCTCCTCCTCCTCCTCCATCTCCTCCTCCTCCATCTCCTCCTCCTCCTCTTCCTTCCCGCACTCCTATACGTCCTTCTCCCGGCCTGTCCATTACTTCAAGAAAGGAGTGGGGCTTTCTCTGCTCGTGGTGAAGAGTGAGGGACGACGGGAACCGCACCGCGCGCGGAAGAGGGAGACGGAAGGCGCATCACGGAAGTGGGAGGAGAAACAAAGGCAAGAACAACAAGGATGTTCCGCCCCAGGTGCTCACATCTATTTAGCCATACTGTGAGTGTATGACGCAGCTTGGGGGAATCCTGTACCAGCCCCAACCAAACAGAAAGAAGGGACTGCAGCTTAGAAATAAGAAAGACACAGCGTGGTGGCTTATATCCGAGGTCAACGACTGATGGCCCGTCGGATGCCAACCGCACCAGAGGAAAAGTAAATACACAATGTGCAGGCCAACGTCCACCCGCAAGGGTGCACGCACGAGCGCAGAGGTCCCTTCTCGCCCCCCCCCCCCACCCACTTCCTGTTTCTCCTCCTCCTCCTCCTCCTCCTCCTCCTCCTGCTCCCCCTTTACGTCATTCCGCCTCCTCTGAGCTCAACGGCCCCTGAATGATCAGAACGGGGACATCGGATTGTGCGCACGCCCGGCAACGATCACTGCACAGACAAGCAACACACACCGACCGTCGTTTGGCAGGCAGCGCTCGCATCACCGCGAGGAATCGCCTCGAAACCAACACTGACACTCAGGACGCGCAGTATACCGCCACCTCAAGTGCAGTCAGATTCGGCAATAAAGGACATTGGGCATCTGTCTGGTGTGGTAGGTTCGCGGGCGAAAGCGAAATGACCCCAACCGGGAAACCAATGTTGGCTTCGATTTGTGCCGTGTGCGTGAGAGAAGCGAAACTCCACAGGGGCGACGATGTGCCAAGCGACGCTAGAACTAAATCGTACAAAAATCTTCTCCGTGGGCATCGCGGGTTGTCCCGTGGGTTGTCCTGTGGGCTTTCCTATCGGTTCTCCAATGTGCTGTCCTGTGTTTTTGTCCAGCGGGTTGTCCCGCAGGTTGTCTGGTTGTTTGTCCTGCGGGTGGTATCCTGCGGTTGTCCAACGGTTTTTCCTGTGGGACGTCCTGTGGTTTGTTGGTGGGTTGTCCAGTGGGTTGTTCTGTTAATGTGCCATGGCTTCTCCCGTGGCTGTTCCAGGGATCATCGCATGGTTGTCCCGTTGGTCGTGCCATGGTTGTTCCATAGGATGTCCCGTGGATTGTCCCGTGGTTGTCCCGTACAATGTCTGGTGACTTGTCTGGTGGGTTGTCTGGTGGGATGTCCCGCGGGTCATCCCATGGGTTGTCTGGTGAATTGTCCCGTGGATTGTCCTGTAGGTTGGCCCATGGGTATCACGTGGGTTGTCACGTGGGTGTCCCATGGGTTTGCCCGTGGGTTGTCCCGTTAACTCTCCTGGGCGTTTTTTCTTTGGTGTTCGATTGGCTGGCATGTGGGTGTTCATGCGGTTATCTCGTTGTTGCCCCTTTGGAACTGCAATTCGACATGAAAAACGGCATGCAACAAACCGCTGAAATACGTACATGGAAGATGGCGTTTGTACATATATATATATATATAGATATACACATACATCGATACACATGCATAATTCGCCGGCCCAACGGGCCAGGGCGTGCTAAGATCTCCGGTAACTGGTTAACAGTATTAACAGTATTTCTAGTTCGCGCGCGCGGGGCGGCCCCTGGGGGTCCCCCGGCGAAAAGTACCCCGACCAACGCCCGGTCGCCGCCCGACCAAGTCTACTCAGAGATGGTTTTCCTTCTGGGTGCGGCCTCTCAGGCTCCCCAGAGCGCGCTCTCTGCTCAGAGTGCCCCAAGAGGCCCCCAAGACTGCCCAAGAGGCCCCCGAGACGCCCAAAGAGCGCTCGAAGACGCCGAAGATGACCCCAAGACGGCCCAAAAGGCCCCCAAGACAGCCCAAGAGGCCTCCAAGACGCCCCAAGAGCCTTCCAAGAGGCCTCCGAAGAGAGCCCCAAGAGGCCAAAATCGTTGATTTTCATTGGTTTGTTCGATGTTTTTTGTGTTCTGGCTTTTTCGGCTTCCGGACGCTCCAAGACGGCCCAAGAGGCCCCCAAGACCGCTCCAAGACGGCCCACGAAGCTCCCAAGACGGCGCCGAAACGACCCAAGAGAGCCCTCAAGACGGCCCAAGTGCCGCCCAAGACGGACCAAGAGGCCCCAAGACGGGCCCAAGAGGGACTCAGGAGGGATACCGAGAACTCAAAAATGGAGCCCTCCGTCCCAGAAGGCGCCCAGGAGGTCCCAAAGAGGCCCCAAGAGGCCTCCAAGAGGCCCCAAGATGTCGCCAAGAGGCCCCAGGAGACTCCCAGGAGGCCCAAAAGAAGCCCCAGAAGGCTTCAAACATGTCTCCCAGGCGCCCCCGAACGGCCTCTCAACAGACCCCAAGAGGCCCCCCAAAGAAGCATCTTGACGACGACTCTATTTCGCCCCATCGAGAGACGACCCCCAGGGAACTGCTTCACCATCAAAACTCCCCACGCAACGCGTCCGAACGACACCCGCCCCCAAGAGCGCAACATGGGCAACGAACACACAGACAAAAACCAGCGATGCCATATCACGGGCCGGCGGAATGAGCGAAGCGATTCAATATAACACATCAATATTTATATATATAAATGCGGATCCAAGATATTGAGATGGGTCGAGTCTGAGACAGGTGTCTGAGCATATACTCGACATGCAAATCTGGATTCAAATCGTAGCTCTATGAGTGGTCATGCATGTAAGCAAGTTTGTACCGCTGTATACAAGATGCAAATGAAGTGGACTGGAATCTGCAAAGCAAATAAAGCCGGCGACTTAATGAAATCAGAGTCGATATGCTACTTTCGTTGTTCGAAACACGTCGAACAATGAAACATGTTGAGCAGAGTTACGCAAATAATATCTAGCACAAGCTATAAACGTCCCCCCCCTCCCCCTTGTCACCCACAGGGTTGTCTGTAAGGTGTTCTGGTTGCTGTGCTTGGGTTCCTGTGGACTCCCGTAGATGGTTGGCGCACCCTCCAGTGGCCGCTTGCGCTCATATGGGCCCCCTACGTGTGACTGGCGCACTTTCTGGAGGCCGCTGGGTACCTGTGGCCTAAGGATTCCGATGGGTGGCTGGCGCACAAGCTGCCGCCTGGGTCCTTAGGGGTTCCAGTCAGGTCCGAAGAGGCTGCAGTGTAAATGCCTGAACGCGAGGCGAGGCGATCAACGGTCGTACCAATCTGCCTCGCCCCCGCCCTCGCGGCGTCCCGGGCGGCGCGAGGGCGCGGTGGGGGAGGAGCGGGGGGAGGAATAAGATGAGGGCGGCAATGAGAAGGGGGACAAGGAGGGAGGGGGAGGAGGAAGAAGAGAAAGCAATACCTTCACAAGAAAATAACCTGAGAAGAAGGAAAACATCAGGATTTGGGCGGAGGAGGCGATCCTCCCTGATCTGCTTCAGCGTCTCTGCCTCGTTCGCATTGTTGTCCTGCCGCGGCGCAGCGGGGAGAGCCCACGCGCCCCGGCCCGCCATGAGCTGCCCGCTGTCGCAGCGGCGAAGCCCGGGCTGGCGGGACAAAGCGAGCGGGCGGTCGGGCGTGGCGAGCCAAGGGGCAGCAGGCGAACGGACTCCCCCCGCTTCCTCCTCTCCCTGAGGTTGTTTTGAAACATTACCTGTCATTGCGCTGGCCTTGCAGACGTGCTTCAGCGGATCTCTTCGTGGATTCTCTCCGTGCAACACCCCGACATGGCGAACGAAAAACGACGTGAATTTCACGTGGAGTTTTCAGTCTTCATCCATGGAAAAAAAAATCCGCACGAAATTAACCTCGAAATCCGGAACGATATTATTCAGGATACTCCGGGCCCATCCTATCGTTTTCGGAACGAATCCGCTCTGCTATGCTGGCGCCATGATACCTGGGGGGGAAGCGCTGGGTAACAAGAACGCTTGGGCGGGGTGGGGCACGCAAGACCTGGGACCCGGGGTGTGCGCCGGTCGCCACAATATGCGCGCGAGCGCCAGCATGTGGGGTGGAGGTCCAAGCCCCCCCCCACCACACACGAGCGTTATGTACTGTTAACCACCTGGGTGGGGTTGGCCTGGGTAACGACTGTTACGCACCAGAGGGTAGAAAGACAGTCTCTGCAAGTAGAACATCGTCGAGAAGAGGAGGGGGTGAGGGAGGAAGGAGACGGACAGTGGGAAAATACCTTCGTTGCGCAGCACATGGGATTACAACTTGTCCCGTGTGACGTCGGCGAAAATACGCACCACATCCCCAAAGCAGTACACAACCTGTTTCCGTGATCGACTGCGTGGCGGTCTCTGCCACTACGACTGGGCAACATCGGGATACCATCAAAACACATTCATGTATTTCCAGCGACACCATCGGCACGTAATCAACACGTAGCCTTGCGCCTACGATCGACCCAATCGGCGGGCGGGAGTGAACTCGGAGTGAACGCTCCACTCCCAGTCATCAGATGTCATGATTGTTGCTTGCGACGGGGGCCCAGAGCCCTCGTCCCCGCCGGAACAAAACGATACAAACGCCGCCACTTCCCCGCATCTCTCCTGGGATGCGTTCTGGCTATGGTTTTGAAGCGAATCCACCCGTGGCGACAAGGGATGGACACCGGACAACAAAAAAATCAGTTCGGAGGAACGCGCGAGTTTCTTGGATCGGCGCTGACGCCCCTGGCAGCCCCTTGGGCACCGCCCCTGGTGCGCTACGCGCGCCAGGCAGGGGGGTTCCAGCGCAAATCCAAGAAATCAGTGTGGACCTCCAGCAGTTCATGTTTATGCTGTGTGTCTGCTTCGAGTACTGGCACCTGAGTCCTCAACCCATTCGGACGGTCAGGAGTCAACTCCTGGGAGGTCTTCGGAAGAATGACTAAAGATTATTATGAAGCTCGCTTCAGGTCCCATCGACCATCGAGCTGGACCAAATAAAATGCAGCCCAATATCAAGACCGACGAAACCAGATTAGACGGGATTGAGCGGAATGCCAACGTTCGCATGGCATACCCACCCCTGGTCCGGCACATTTACCCCACGTCTCGTGGCCCCATATGGAGCTCCAAGTGAGTACCAAAAACCAGCGTTCGCATGGCGCACCCGCCCCTGGTTCGGCACAACCGTCATACGCTCTGTGTCCCCGAAGGGAGGGAGCTCCACCGAAGGCAGTACTGGCTGCGCTCGCGTGGCGCACCCGCACCCCATCTGGCACACCCCTGACACGTTTCGTGGCCCCATAAGGGGGCACAAACTAAGGCCCAACCCCGCAACCCCCTGTCGGCAGACCCCTCGCATACCCGCACCCGTGTCGGCACACCCCTCGCATATTTCGTGGTCCCATGGGGAGCCCCAACGAATGCCCAAATGCCAGCGTTCGCTTGGCGTACACGGCCCCGATTCGACACACCCCTTTCACAGATTCCGGCTCCACCAAAGGCCCCAGTGGCTGCGTTCGCATGGCGCACCCGCACCCAAATCGGTGCACCCCTCGCACGTTTCGTGGCCCCCTAGGGAGCTCCACTGAAGGCCGCGTTGGCTGCGTTCGCATGGCGGCACCGCATCTGATTCGGCACACTCCTCACACGTTCCGTGGCCCCGTCGGGGGCTCCAGCGAAGGTCACATTGGCTGCGTTCGCATGGCGCACCCGCACTCTGTTCGGCACCCTACCCCACACGTTTCGTCACCTCACAGCTGGCTCAACCAAAAGCCCCAGTGGCTGCTTTCGCATGGCGTACTCGCCAACCATCCGGCACACCCAGAAGAGAGGTCCACCCAAGGCAGCAATGGCTGCGTTCGCATGGCGTGCCCGCCCCCGAATCGGCACACCCCTCGCACGTTTCGTGACCCCATAGGGAGCTCAACCGAAGGCCGCACTGGCTGCGTTCGCATGGCGGCATCGCGCCCGATTCGGCACAGCGGTGTACACCCCCCAGACCTTTCGTGGCCCCATGGTGAGCTGCCCATCTTCCGTCCCACTTGCTCGCATCCGCATGCGGTTGGGTCGAACGCCGGGATAAGTTGGAAGCTTCATTTCCAGACTAACATATCCTGTTCGAAATCCACAACAGAATCCGAAAGTACATTCACAGGACAATGCAACGCTCTTTCTTACTTTCCCGTTGCCTTATTTTCCCGATCGGAGCTGGATCTGCGAAGTTGGCTCCACGACACCAGGAGCTGCATCCTAAGGACGGGTTCCCCTCCACGGCCCCGAGGCCCAAGGACGGTGTGCCCTAGTATGGGGGAAGCGGGTTCTGAAGATACGGGTCCCAGACCTGAGGGCCTCCCCCAGGACCAACTCGTCACCCTGAGTCGTTCTCTGACAGCCGTGGGGCTCGGGAACGGCCCCGGGAGGCCAAAAAACGGTGCAAAACCCAAGGACCCTTCTCCTCAAAACCCGATTCCCTCCCAGCAGCAGGAGATCGTGGGAGGGGAGAGTGGGGGAAGGAGGGTAAGGCCGGGAGCGGCCAAGAGGGGGTGATGACTGGGGGGGATATCGTGGCCGGGGGTCAGGATATTTCCCGAGATCTCGTGGCGCTTCTTCTTGCTTCAACGCGTCCTCCCACGGCGAGTGCCCCAGCGCGCGGCCGAGGCCGCAGTGGTGCAGACGACCGACTGGCCCTGGCCGTCCCTAGGGCCGACGGCGGCAGCACCGCCGCAGCACCGCCGCAGCAGCGCGGCCCGCCTCGGGCCTCCCCGCCGCGCGGCCAAGGCCGCCGTCGGGAGGGCGGGGGGAGGGACGGGGGATGCTGGGGAGGGGGAGTATGTGCCAGGAGGGGGGGGCAGCGATACAGTTGGACGTTGAGTCGTTGAAGAGTCTTCGATCACACATCATCTCGACATTGTTGGGGTTTGATCTCTCCACTTCGTTAGGGGAGGGGGCAGCTGGTGACCCGGATCGCACAAGGTACGCAGCACCCCACAACTGAGGATGAGAGTGAGGGCGCGTGCGGGGTGGGTCGCGGGTGGGTCGCAAGGTGGGTCGCGGGGTGGGTCGCTGGGGGGGTGACGGGTGGGTCGCGGGCGGGTCGCGGGCGAAGACGACGACGACGCAACAACAAGGAGATTCCGCCGCACGGAACGCCAATTCTGCCACGCACCAAGGGACAATGAGTGACCGTTCGACCCCTGAGCTGAAGTATCTGACGCGGGGATCTCAATCATGTGCACCTCAGGCTATGACACCTCCTATGTGAAAACCTGAACGCGAGCACATCGAAGCGCGAGTAAGACTGAACGTGTGCGCCCTTTTCTGGGGCGACTTGGTCAGAATCGGGAACGGGCTGCCCGGGTCAGAGACAGTGCGCCAGTAGATCGACTACAGAATTGGTTTTACCCCAAAACAACTGTTCGTCGAACCTGCGAAACATGCGTAGAATAACCGTTCGGCCCCCTCTCTTCGATGATTGGTTCAATCCCAGCGCTGTTCCCCGATTCTTGGTCGGCGGCGAGTCAGAGGCAGTCCGCACCAGCGTGGGGCTAATCGGGGCAACCGAAAGGCGAATTGCCTGGCGTGAAGGGGAAGGAACGAAGACGAGGGCGGCCGCGCGAGGGGAGGAGGGGGGGGGGGAAGCGCTCAGACGTGGAAGAGTTCCGCGAAGAGCAGGGCGGACAACTCACACACACAAACACCCATACCCATAGGGGGGTCGTTGGGAGGAGGACTGGCTGTGGGTGTGGGTGCGGGTTGTCGGACCGCGGGGGAGTCTCCCGTTCGAGCGGGGAACCCCATCTGACAACACGCATCCAGAGCCCCCTCCGACCCCCTGTGTGTATAGGTGTGTGCTGTTCGCTCGTCAAGCTCTGGGGCCGCGGATTGAAACAAAACATGTCGGCGAATGTCAGGGGAGTCGGCCGCATGCGGCCGGCTTTCCCGGAGCCTCCCCACCGCCGAGGGCGGCCGTGCTGCGAGGGAAGCGCCTGGCGGCGGGGCCGAAACCAGACTGGCACGCCCGACGGGGGGGATGGCGAGAACGGCGACGATGCCCAGCAGCCAAAAGCCATCCCAAACCGACCGCGGCCACCTGCCCTGCCAGGCAGGCGACGCCTGCCCCGAGCGGACCACGCCCGCGGCGGCACGACAGCGAGAACTGCCCGAGGATGGGCACGAGCTGCTGTTTGACTTCCGTCCCCGCTGCGTGGGGTCCCAGAGCGGTGCGGTGACAGACCGCGCGGTCGGTCTGAATCCCAGAGAACCTCACCGCACGGTCCGTCACCGCACGGCCTTGGGACCTTGGAAACCCGAGACGCCCTCGGAGAACGACCCAAACCTCCCAAACCGTGCGGCCACCCCGAACCCCCCGCGCACTCACCACACGAAGTGGCCACCGAAGCCGTGGACGCCCGAAATGGGTACCGAAAAAAGGGTACGATGCCCAGCAGCACATGCTGTCCAGAACCGACAGCGGCCTCTGTTGGGCAGGCGGCCGTCTGTCTCGAATGGACAACGTCCGCGGCGACGCCAGCAACGTTCGCGGCGACGCCGACTGCTGTCGGTCTTCGGTCCCATTCTTACCGTACCCATGTCGATCGTGCCCAGCAACGTTTGGGAGCCCAGACGCCACCGTCCCGGCCTCGGATCCTCCCGAGAAGAGAGGCCTGGGAAGCCCCAGTGCACGCGAGGGGTGCGGCGCCCGCTGCAAGGGAGTGGGGCGGCGAGTCCTCCCGGTTGTTCCACACGTCGATGTCCACCTTCGTGCGGACCATGTAGAACGGCACCGAGTGGCGCTCCAGCTCCGCCTCCGCAGCGGGCACAGGGGGGGGAGGGGGGCCGGCGCTGCGCCGTTCACGGGGAGAGGCCGAGGCTCCCGCGGCGCCAGGGGGCCTAAGAGCCTGCAGGAGGCCCCTCGCCCCAAGTGGTCCACCTGGGCGACGAGGATGAAGGGGCCTCACGCGGGACGGCATAGACCTTACGCCGCGGCTTGCGCGGGCCGCCAACGCGGCACACTGCACTGGAAACGAGGGCGCTCACGCGCGACCTCACGTGGGCAGCCTACGCGCCAATCTCGGCGAAGACGACCTCCTTCATCTGCGTCGCCTCACCTATAGATGGGATGGGTCACCTGTGGACGGGATGGGCGAGGGGGCCCAGGGCGAGGAGGGCTGCACCGCCGAGGGGTGGGTGACGCGAGTGCACTCGCTCGGGGGTGCGCCGTCGAGCTCGAGCAGCACTGCGGGGCGGCCCCGTGCCCCTTGGGGGCTCCGGGCATTCTCGACGCGTGAAGAATCAGTCTTGTCGGGGAGCGCTTGCTCGCGAGGTCGCCCGATCAGGGCGGATTCTGGATCTCCCTTCCCTGGGACCGCTTCCTCGGTCCCTCTGGAGGCCTGGGAGTTGTCGAGCGGCGGTCTGGGAATCACCGCTCCGCTCCGCCCACCTCGTCTGCCTCGCAACCCTTCTCTTCCAACACCCCCTCCTGTGACTCCTCAAGAATTACCCCTTATGCTGGGGAAACCAAACGGTGCCGATACCGCTACTCCCCTGACCTCTCCTGGGTGCGTTCCGACCAGGATTTCGAAGCGAATCCAGTGGTGGCGACGAGGGCCTCTCAGGAGGCACAAAACAGCGAAAACGAGGAAAGGGCACCAGTATGGGCACCTGTTCCTCCTGTGAAGTCTCCCTACTCCCTGAGCGTCAGCCTCACTCCAGCTATCTCTCGATCGATGCCCAGCTAGGGGGGCTGCTCCGGCTCGTCGTCAGGTCGCGGGTCGACCAAGGGTTTTGGGCGGCTCGGTCGGTGGGCTCGGCCCTCGCCCTCCTCCTCGTCTTCCTGCTCTCCGCCCTCCCTGCTCTCCGTCTCCCTGCTCTCCGTCCTCCCGCCCCTGATCCCCACTCTCATGCCCCTTCCCCCTGCTCTCCGTCCTCCTCCCTCCTCCTCCCTCCTCCTTCCAATTCCTTCCTCCTCCATCCCCCCCTCCTCATCCTCGTGCTCTTCCTCCTCCTCTTCCTCCTACTTCTCCTCCTCCTCCTTTTCCACCTCCTACTCCCCCTCCTCCTCCTCCTCCTCCTCCTCCTCCTCCTCCTCCTTCCTGATTCTTATTATTCTTATTATTATTATTAGTCTTCTTCGTATTCTGATTATTCGTCTTCTTCTTATTCTTAGTGATATTATTATTGTTGTTATTATTATTATCAGTATTGTTATTAGTATTATTATTCTTATTCGTCTTCTTCTTCTTATTATTATTAGTATTATTATTCGTATTATTATTCGTATTAGTAGTATTATTAGTATTATTATTGTTAGTAGTGCTAGTATTATTGTTAGTACTATTATTACTATTATTAATATTAATAATACTAATAATATTATTATTACTATTACTCTTACTATTATTATTAGTATTATTATTATGATTATTATGATTATTATTATTATTATTATTATTATTATTATTATTATGCGTCGTATTATTATGCGTATTATCATTATTCTTCTTATTCCTCTTTTTCTTATTCTTCTTCCTCCTCCTCCTCCTCCTCCTCCTGCTCCTGCTCCTGGTCCTGCTCCTGCTCCTCCTCCCTCTCCTCCTCCTCCTCCTCCTCCTCCTCCTCCTCCTCCTCCTCCTCCTCCTCCTCCTCCTCCTCCTCCTCCTCCTCCTCCTCCTCCTCCTCCTCTTCCCCCCTCCTCCACTTTCCACGTTCTCCACATTATCATTCCTGCCCCTCCACATCATTTCTCCTCACTTTCGTCGCCTCCTGTCATTCTTTACCCCCTCATCCTCCTCATCCTCCCCCTCATCCTGCTCACCGCCGTCCTCCTCTTCCTCCCCCTCCTCCTCGTCGACGGCCTCCTCTGCTCCTCGCCATCCTGCGCGACGCCGTTCTAAGCCATACTGACCCTGCGTTTCCTAATCCTCCGCCACTGTGCCCCCTGGCACGTTGAGGCGTCGTAGCATATCTGATGTTGCCCGCTAGCCCCCCCCTTTCTCCACGAGTCCAGCCCCGTGCACCGCCCCCCACCTCTCCCTCCGAGGCTTCCTGGGCAGCCTGGAGCCCCTCTGGCGCTCTCCGAGTTTCCGTGAGGCTTCCACGGAGGCCGAGGAGGGCCGCCAAGATGGCCCACCACGGCCCAACAGTCGGCCGCGATGCGCCCATCGGCGGCCACCAGCCGGGTACCCAAGCGAACCTCCGCCACGCCCACCCAGCGCACGGCGCGCCCACAGGGTGCCTCTAAGGGCGGCCACCGACCGGGCACCAGGCGAAACCCAGGCACACCCACCCAACGCAGGGGGCGCCCACCAGGCCCGACGACGGGCCTCCAGCCCGGCACCAGGTAACACCCCGACACCCGAAGCGAAGGACTTACGCCCAGAAGTAAGCGTCCCTCAGCTGAGTACAAGCAGATTCTGTGGATTTGTTCAGCGACGCCCTCCCGCCGACATCTCTGGTACACAGAAGTTTGCCAGCGTGGACTCCAAATAGTAATTTGTTGCACTGTGGGCGTGCCATTGGCATGGTGAAAGTTGTGTGGTGCGAGCATTGTGGTGCAACATACGTTATCTGTACCGTTAGCGGGGACATTACGGGAGCCGCCAGGCAAGAGGGAGAGAGAGAAGGGGACGAAAGGCAAACCCCCGGAGGCCCACGAGCCCCGCAAGGGCCCGCCACCCGCCGGTGCGAGCACCGGGGGTCCCCGGGACAAAGCGGCGGCCCCACGAGGGCCGAGGGCAGAGAGAGAGGAAGGGCCAACGGCTCGACTCACTCACATATCATATTTCTCGTGACTCACTGTCAGCCTCGAGCGAGGCTGCTGAAAGAGATCTGAGCTGGACACAAGGCCTGGAGCCGGCGAGGAACCCAAGAGCAAATGTCGAGACATCTTACGGCCTCGAGCACGCTCGAGTCGAACGGAATCGAAACTCGGAACATTAAAAGGGGGAGGGCGGGCTGGGCGCCTTCGGAACCAACCCCTCCCACTGCAGATAAGAAGCGTACAACTGGCAATTATCTGTACCGTTAGCGGGGACATTACGGGAGCCGCCAGGCAAGAGGGAGAGAGAGAAGGGGACGAAAGGCAAACCCCCGGAGGCCCACGAGCCCCGCAAGGGCCCGCCACCCGCCGGTGCGAGCACCGGGGGTCCCCGGGACAAAGCGGCGGCCCCACGAGGGCCGAGGGCAGAGAGAGAGGAAGGGCCAACGGCTCGACTCACTCACATATCATATTTCTCGTGACTCACTGTCAGCCTCGAGCGAGGCTGCTGAAAGAGATCTGAGCTGGACACAAGGCCTGGAGCCGGCGAGGATCCCAAGAGCAAATGTCGAGACATCTTACGGCCAAATTTCCAATATCCCAGATCTTGGTCTTGTACAAGAAGGGTGGGCGGGTTCGGGAAACTCTTACAAGTTGCCAATGCCTCAAGACTGATCTTATCTGCTCTGAGCAGGCCTCTGCCTATCAGGTGTGCTCAGGCGCGCATCGGCACGCCGCGGCGCAGCCGGTGGATATTCTTGGCCACTAGCAGCGCGCGAGCTGCCAGCTCTGAGGAGGCTGGGCCGCGCTTGCCTTCCAGGAGCTGCAAGCCGCGAGCGACGTCTCTGGCCCCCATGACGGCGACCTGGCGGAGGAGCTTCCCGGTCTTCTCGTAGCGGGCCACCGACTTGGACGTGAGCCAACGGCCCCTCTTCTTGATCTCCGCCAGGCTGAGCAGCTTCCGGTGGGCGGCCGTGGACGGCCCACCGTGGCGGGCTGAGTGCGGCGTGATGTTCAGGTCGGTCAGGCGGCAGCGCACTGCCGCGTCTTTGATCTCCTTCTCGTAGCGAGGCAGCGTCAGCGGGGCCAAGAGCTTCGTGCCTTTGGGCGCCTGGCTTCTGAGGGACTGCAGCAGCTGAGGGATGAACGGCAACCCGAGCCCTTCGAGCCCCACGACGACGGTGTCGTCGAACTCGCCTGACTTTGCCGGCTTCGCCGGCGTCGAGCTGCCTTTGGCCGTCTGCGGGGCCACGATGATGCAGGTCTGCTTGTAGTTGGCGGCGCTCGGCACGATGACGTCTTCCTTCTTCAGGTTCAAGATCTCCGAGGGCCGCGCGAACGTGTCGTACTGCGTGAGAAAAGCGAGCCCGGCGGCGGCCGCCGTGACTGTCGGCTGCCCCAGGAGGTCGAAGGCCAGGATGGCGGCGGCCTCGATCGGGCACGGATCCTCCGACCGAGGCGGGTCGTCCTTGAGGAAACCTTTGATGGCCCGCTGGCAGCGCGGAAGCGACCCCTTGGGCAGCGCCTTCACGAAGATGATCGCGCACCGCAGGTTGCGGGGCGCGGAGACGTCGAGCCCTTTCAGGTACATTTCGTCGTTGATGTACTGCGCCGCCGCCTCGTCGAGGGTGTTTGTGCTCATCCTGTGCAGCTGCAGGCCGTGCTGGACCGCGTGGAGCTCGAACGCGTTGTATGCCTTGGCGTAGGCCCGGCGGGTCTCCTCTGACACGGACTGCGCCTCGACCTGCGTCAGGTCCGTGAGGGCCGGCGCCGCGGCAGCCACCGCACTCGCCGCCGCACTCGCCCTGCGGGCGGCCCGCACCTCGCGCTGGCCCGGCGCGGCCGCCGCTGGGCGCCGCGCGGGCGTCGCGAGGGCGGTCGCGGGGCGGCGCAGCGGCGTCGGAGCCTCCACGTCTGGCTGGGTCGCGGCCAGCACTAGAGCGTCCGGGGTCGGCGCCTGGTCCGCTGCTGGAGCCGCCGCTGGTCGCCGTCGCGGGGGAGGGTCTGGCTCGGTGTCGGCTGTCCGCGCCCTCTTGGCCTCCCGGGAAG